TCATCGATCCCAAAGGTTCTATCGAATGGCATCGTGCCCCTAAGTGCATCCAAGTGCAGTTGCAATGGCTCCGTTGGATGATGCTGGCGCCATCTGGCGCCCTTGAAAGACAGTCCCCATCAATAAGAGTCCAAGACAACCACAAGACTACACATCTTGAGTACATCTTGTTGGTTGACTACTTGGTTAACTATTAAACCGCGTCGACCAACACTGGTGGAAGATGGTGGAACCACTCTGCAGAAAATCAAAGCGCCTGCGTCAAGCCATTGCTCTTTTCCACACGACTGTCTGTGCATGAGGCTCTGGTGTTTGCATGCCCATGGCAGTGTGAAAGGCTTGCAATTTCCAAATCTTGTCCTTTGGAATGCAGCTGTCCCCCTCAAATTGTTGGAAAAGCCTCTCAAACAACCCCTGTCCCAGGTGCATTCTTGGTCAGCCATTGAGAGATGATTGTGCAAGACCCTCGGCAATGAGAATAGGGATATGTTTGTCATCTTTTCCTGCCACTCTTCTTGTTTAGATTTCCTGTGTTGGTTCATTGAATCCATCATTTGGAAGCCAAGTGTGGCAACTTGAGACCTTCCAGCCTTGAGTAGCACACATAAAATCCACATTCTAGTCCCGAGTCGGTTTGTCTATTACACAAGGGCTTTTCAGCCCTTTCTGCTCCTTTCTTTCTCAAAATTGACAACTCGATCTGGGTACCATTTTGACAGCCGCACGTAACTTGAGTGGCTCGAAGGATGGAACTCCATGAAATTGCCAGCTTCGTTGGTGTCCACTCACTCACATATGAGAATTACTACACAGCATCACCTCGAAGCTGGCATGGCACCGCTCAGGATTGTTCAGTGCCCAAGTCGTTAGCATGAAATCCCACTGAGAATAGAACCTACGTGGGTCTCACAAGTCGTTACCTGCACTTCTCAACAGGCGCAACCCGCTGGTGCAACCTGGGGATGCCAAGAGCAACCTGGGTTCTGCGTGGTCAAGTCAAACTCAGCTCTTCGGACTTCAATTGAAATACTACCTAATAGCACTCCACCCGAATAGCGATGGCCTCCACCCTAGTAGCGATGGCCTCCAACCTTCAAGAGCTTCTTACACCTGCTTCTTCACCAAAAGTATGTCATGCATGTGCCATTGGCCAATCATGTTCTGCTCTGCAAATATGCAAGTATAGACGAGCACCAATCTTAAATCTGCCCCAGCTAGGTTGGGGGAGAAAGGAGGCCAAGAAACTCTTCATTGACATTGGCTTCTTAATCCTGTCTGGGTAGGGGGCATGTAGAAAGTTTCGATTGAAGAATGGGTCGATTCTTAAACCTTTGGCTCCCAAACCATATCTGCACCGGGCTGGCTCGAGTGGGGACGCAATCGTGCAACTCGCTCTGGTACAGTAATGGGAGGCCCAATGGTGGCGTAACAATCACTCCTGAAACAACCAAACTCTGTCCAAAGCTTGGGGATGACATGGCTGGTCACGGTTGGTGGATTGACTTCTTGATGCCTGGCTTCGACACCCGTCGTGCTGTAACCGCACATAGTAAGCAGTCGGAAGTGTCCGAGGAGGCTTCATCCTGACGGCCTATGGGTCCTCATCCTTCTGCACCCAGCACCCAAAAAACATCACCAAGCTGTCGCTTTGTTCTGGGGATCCCTACGCCGCCTAAAAATCCGTCTCCCAATCCCTATAGGACCATAGGACCCCAATAGATCAGGTCAAAACCCCCACCCATATCGACACTCTTCGTTGGGTCTCCCGGGTCCGATCTCCGAGTCCATGACTCTTCGATCCACCAATTTCAAGAAGCGGTCCACGAAGCGGTCCACTCCCATGGATGGATGGCTTCGGTTTGGCCGAGGGTCGGCCCCCCCAAAAACGACTAGCCCCCTGTAATGAGACTGAGAAGAGCAAAACAAGAGCAGTATAGACTACGATGCACTACTTGAACAGCCAAACCTGAACGTACTTCCTTGATCTTCCTTGCTTTCAGATCATTTGCATGATTGGAATTGAATGGTGCCGCATGGCCGCATGGTCCTTTAAGGTCACGTTTGCCTTCCATCCACAGATGTGGATTAAAAAGAAAAAAGATACTACTGGGTGCCGCATTCAGAGTCGGGCTGCTTCATTTCACGAATCCTGACACGGGTCTATCTTGTGGCAGGGGAAGGATGCACTAAGTGGCAAATATGTTGTTCATTTCTTTCTGGCGCGCACATGTACGTCAATAAGACTCAATAAGAAAATGACTCGCGCAGTTCTTGTCGAACACTTCACGCCTCTTCTGTAGACTTTCTCTGCGCTCCTGAGCTGCCTGGCACAGAAAAACACACAACTCAAAGATCGGCAACCGGGAGGAAATTTCACCGCTCCGCTATAGGAAAGCAACTCAAATGACTGAATGATTATGGGGGGACATGGCTATTTTGCTGTCCTTCTTGTGGGATGGAGCACAGCAATGAGGGTGTGTTTTCTAGGTTTGGCTGTTGGTGATGTCGATGAACTAGCTATCCAATCTTCGAAACAAACTTTCTTTTTACCCTTGGCATTGTCTTCCACAAGCAGCAGCGTTGGATTTTTGCGATGCACTGACCCAAGCATTCTTGCAGAGTGCCCATGTTTTGCACAATAAGCCAGCCAACTCTATCATGTCACAGTAAGACTTTCTTGGGCTCCAATGGTCCAGGTCTGTTTATTCCAAAGGATGCCCCCTATGGTGCTCTGTTTGCACGTGCACTGTGTATTGCATAATCCTCATTCTACCCTATCTCTCGACTTGCTCCATCCTTGTAAAACGCCCACCCAGGGCCCCGGACAAGCTTCGCGGCGGAGAAGCGCTGGGCACTGGCTCGGGGGTCCCCCGCCTGACTCCTTTGCGGAAGGGCTTCGGTTCGCCGTCGGGCATCAAAGCAAATTCATTGGTGATATACAAAGTAAAACACACACAAACATATATATATATTACAATATATTGTATATGCACATCATAAGAATAGTATATTATCGATGTACGCACATGAAAGAACATAGAACACGTAGAACGTGATATGTCCATGTGCCCCCATATTGCCCAAACGGGTGTAATGCTGAAAAGGAAGTCCAAGAATTCGCGTGATGGGGAACTGCAAGGCGTTGAGTGGAGCAAACCACGACGCGGAGACCTGACACCCCATGCGTCCGGGAGTCTTGCGGACAGCTTGGCTTGGACGTCGGCGCCATGTAGGTTCAGAGGCCTCTCCGGAACTCTGCACCCCCGAAATGTAATTACTGTCAACAAGCGCTCTCGCGATGCACTTACCACCCATGCCCAAACCACCCTCAAGGGTGCAGTAGATGTGCACACTGCAGGCCCCTTCACTTACCCAGCGTTTACACCATGCTAAACAACTGAGACATTGTGGCAGGATTTAGAAACCCTGTTCCATAGTTTGGTCCGGCTCCTAACCGCCTTGAACAGCGGTGAACAGTGCACCACAACCCCCAAAACTTCCTCCCTCTTCTCAAACCCTAATTCATTTCAACAGGACCTGATTGTGCTCGACCGTTCTTCGCCTATAACCTCAGATCAAATCCCACAAAATCACCCAGATTCCCATAGAATTGTTCAGAGTCGCCTATCAAACAGTTGTTGCTTTCAAATGCTTTCAAGCTCACACAGGGGCTCCCCAATAAAGACCCTATCCGTATCCGTAGCCCCCAATGAATTTGGTTTCTACTGCTGGGCCAACAAAACACGTCCTGTCCACATTCAAAAGGCCTTTGTCCCTTGTAAACATTTGACACCGTTCCTCATTCCTCCCCAATTCCCTCTTCATGAAGAGATTTGTCTTGGAGATGACATTCCTGGATCCAGATTATTTGAGGTAGGTTTCTACATTGTTTGCTTCCAGGACCATTGGGCCTTCACGAGGTCCGCTATTCCGGTGTTCACTTTATCATTTTGTTGACCCCACCTCCACCTTCTACAGCATACACAGGTAAACAAGGAACACAACTGGTTCCGCAGCTCGTGTATACTGCTTATCTTGGCTGCACAGTCCACTTGACCCACAACTTAAGGTTAATACTCCCTGGAAAATCAACATGGCACCTGAAAACCACTGGTTTGTGGAGGAAGCTAGTCTTCCAAAGGTCCATTTTCAGGTTCCATGTTAATTGTCCCGGGTGTATGTTGCCCCGTCCGCTTCAATTTTGGACAAAACAAGGCAAGGCCCAAACTGCGCCTCATCCTCCTCAGTATCCCTGCGAGCTGCTGAATAGGTGGATCCAGGACCATGAAAAGTGTCAGTCTAATTTACACATACACCCGCGTTGCAAATGTCCAATGCTCTGGTAGGACTCTGAATTGACCAAGAACTGTTCACCAAGTTGATCTTTTGATCCCTTTTGATGGCATCCTTTGTCTTCAATGATGTCCATGAGTCCAATCTGTGCCTCCTTTGGACGGAAGCTCTGACCGTGTTGGCCGTGACGGTCTCCCTGTGCAAAAAATGCAGCACCATACTTTATAGATCTCATCGCATATTATGGGCTGGAAATGGCTGAAAGTTGAACTGAACTAGAGTGGGGTGCTCTGGCCTTCAGCCAACCTCGAGCACGTGGAACAACACAGAACATGCTGTTTCTCAATGCCGAGACGCAATGTTTGGGAAGCCTTTAGTCATTAATTACAGGGAACTATTTGGAATAGAAGCTACTAGTAACAAGGGCATTACTACTAGTAGCTACTAGTAGAAGCTACTAGTAGCTATTTGCAACTAGTAGCAATGCACTTGCCGGGATACCTCTCAAATCACCATCCGCATCATGCACTCCTTTGATGCCGGGCCTCACATGTCGCTGTCCCTGGCGGAGGTTCTTCCGTCTCTCCTGCTTCTGCTTCACCAATGGGCCGGTGTCAAAGTCCGACATCTGAGTGGCCGAGGCAAGCGACAATGGAGTCGGAAAATCACTGAAGAAACACACTCAGACTCCAAAGGCCCCTTGGTTGTGAAGAACGTGGTGAATCCCGAAGTGGAATAGTTACTAGCATTGTTCTGCCAACACCACTGCCACTTTTTCGAACAGAAGCACTGCGTCCGACCTTTTCAGGTCGGTCGGGCCACACGGGCTGAGGCGACTCTGAGCAGGGTCACTACTTCCCCGTCGGGGGCCACAAGGCGTTCCTTAGATCAAGAAAACTTCCAGCTCCGTAGAACCACGGTGGCTCCAAAACAGCTACATCCTCACCAAGGCACCCAGTCTCGCCCAACTCACTGAAGAACTTGGCCACCTTGCACTGCACGTTAGCACTCCGGCATCTGTCATAGGCAAGTAGTTATGGGGTAAGGGATCAAAAAAAAAAGTAGAATCACAAAAATATTCAACGGGGATCAATAAAAAAATAGAAAGGGGATCCAAAAAAATATTCTAGCCCAGTGAGGGTGGTTGGGGTAGTAGTAGTAGTAGTAGTAGTAGTAGCAGTAGCACCAGCAGCAGCGCAGCAGCAGCAGGAGGAGGAGTAGTAGGAGTAGTAGTGGTAGCAGTAGCAGTAGTCACGGCGTTCAAACGAAGTTAGGCCCTACATGGCGTTGTCAGAGCGCTCAGAGCAGAGAAGTGTTTGGAATGGGTGTAGCAGCATCGGCAGGTGCCTGGATGGGAATCTCTTCAGGAAAAAGATGTGGTGGACCAGTCTATTTCTAATGGGTGCATTGCGGTGCAGGACTTTGTGGGCCTTGGAGTGCAGAGTTTGTGGCAGGCGCAGGACTTTTTGTGGGCCTTGAAGTGCAGATTTCGTGGCAGGTGTAGTACTTTGTGGCGCTTGGAGTGCAGATTTTTTGGCAGGCGCAAGACTTTGTGGACCTTGAAGTGCAGATTTCGTGGCAGGTGCAGTACTTTGTGGACCTTGAAGTGCAGATTTCGTGGCAGGTGCAGTACTTTGTGGCTGTTGAACTGCAGAAAGATAGAAAGATAGAAAGATAAATTGATAGATAGATTAGATTAGATTAGATAAGATTAGATTAGATAAGATAAGATAAGAAGATAGATAGATAGATAGATATACATAGATAGATAGATAGATAGATAGATGTTTGCTTGGTTAGAAAGTTTTGCACCGGGGAGTTCACCTTAAAATATTGATTTCGCAGCAGGCGCGGGTGTCGGGGATGAAGTGCAGATTTCGTGGCGCAGGGGGGGGTTGGGGGGGGCGCAGCGCCCCCCCCAGCAGCACACCAGATCCAAAGGTGAGCAGCTCGTGCTTGCTTGCTTGCTTGCTTCCTTGTTTGGTTTCGTCTCTGCAACGAAAACAACAGGAAAAGCAAATACAAAAAGAGAAAGGAGAACAGCTGCCAAAAGAAAGAAAGATAGATAGATAGATAAATAGATAGGTATAGACAGATAGATGGATAGGCCAAAAAGCCAAAAGCCACAAAAGCCAAAAGCCACAGAAGCCACGAAAGCCACGAAAGCCAAAAGCCACAAAAGCCAGAAGCCACAGAAGCCAAAAGCCACAAAAGCCAGAAGCCACAGAAGCCAGAAGCCACGAAAAACAAAAAAAACAAAAAAAGAAACAAAAAAAATCCAAAAATAAATACCCCTCCCTAGGAGAGTGTACCTCCCCAGGAGCTCCCTCCTAGTAGGGAGCTATTTCCACTGGTGAACCATTTTTCGAGTAGGGCTACTCAATGACTGGACGGCGACCTTATCGTTGGGTACCTACTTTCTTCCCAGGGAGCTGCCTCTAGTAGAAAGCAATCAAGCCTCTATTTGCGCAAGCAGGGGACCAGGAGATCGACAGACGAGCGCCGTAGGAGAGCAAAAGACTACCGGACCAGGAGACAGAAGGACTAGGATACCAGGGGACCAGCGGACCACAGGACCAGAGGACCAGGAGACCGGAGGACTAGGGGACCAGTGGACTAAAGGACCAAGGGACCAGGGGACCAAAGGACCAGAGGACCAAGGGACCAAAGGACCAAGGGACCACATTACCAGAGGACCCGCAAACCACAAGGCCAGGAGAGCAGCAGAAGAGGCCTATCAAGGAATATTTATTTTTGGATTCGCTTTTTTTTAAATGTTTTTGATCCTGTTTTTATTTTGTTTTTGATGCTCTTTTTATTTTTTTTGATACCTATGCCGTAGTTATGTAGGCTTCAAAGTGTCTGATCTGGCTTGAGACTTGCTTCCTGGTGTGGTTGTCTCGGCTTCAGGGCGTCCCCTCATCCTCCCTTGAGCTTGGAGGAGATCGCCGGTGACAAGAAGAATGATTGACTGCGGGCAAGGTCGTGTCAAAAAGGCAAGGCTATTCTGGATACCCGCACTAAAAACCTCAAGAAATCCAATTCTTCACGAACTTCCACGACAAGATTGGTCTTTAGACAGGCCTTCAACATCAAAAAAATATATTACAACAATGATTAACAAAAAATAAAACAACAACAACAATCCAGCGACCGGCAACTGGATTTTTTAGCTTTCGCTCAACTTGTGCTCCTTGGAGCCTTCGTGCTTCGGGCCAAAGGGGGCCACTTCCCGACCACGCCTTCTCTGCATGCGTATGGGGCTTGGAGGCCTCGCAAAGATCATGCAGCTCCTCCTGAGCCGCAACTGTCTTCAAGAACATGTAGAGGTACGTCAGCTATATCATCTACATAATGTGTAAAATTGTTGTGTTTTGACTGTTTGACTATATAGTAAATTACATATCAATGATGTACTATCTGTTAGGGTTATATATGCATGTCAGTCCATCAAAGACCATTATGTTATATATCTGCAACCTGCTTTGAAGCCAATGCAATGGCAGTCTGCCTTGTGCTTGCTGCCCTTGAGAACACACCTTTAAAAGGATGGGTCTCGGAAGGGTCTATACAAATTCAATTCCGTGAGTCCCCAACCTCCCAAATATTGCATTGAGCACAAAGGTTCTGCATCATTAGCATCATTTCAGAAGCAAACATCACTTCACGTGCCCCCATGATCCAGAGATGAAACACTGCATGCTGACGGCTGACTCTGAGGGCTCCAAGCTTACTCCAAGGGGCATAAATCGTCCCGAGGGAAGGATGCAAATCTCAGATTGGCAGAAGGATTTCAAGGCAAACCGCGGCAACCATGAAACCAACAAGTCGAACATTCTAGACTGGGGTCCTTAGGCCATTGGGGACACTCGAAAAACATGTATCATGTATCATGTACTAGGCATATGCGTGTGGCGGACGTTTTGATAGACCATCCTTAATTTCCGCTGAAGCTCAGGGAGCAAGCTGTACTGCCGCAGCCAGCTGTGCACTGAAGATCTGTTTGCGCTCCGAAAAGGGGATCCCTGGATGATGAAGCACCTTGAGACAAGGCCTAAGCAACCAGTTTTCTCTCCTTTATTGATTTAGACATGTGATTCCTCATTTCAGTCAAAGCGATCATTTCGAACATGAAAATGGGTGAGCCCTTCATGGCGTCGAATGTCCTTTGCGGAGGCGTCAAGGGTGATGAGACTGGATCCTAGATGGCTGGCCCATGTGAGGGCAAACATAGTCACATTCCAAAACGAAGAACTAAAATAGCCACTGCATCAAGCCGCTTAACGGACCGCCCTGCCCTGCAAAGCTCTGTTGCCTTTGATGAGATTCTCTCTCCCTCTCCCTCTCTCTGCCTCTGCGGAGTTTAGTTGTCTCACGCCCGTCCCGCAACAACATAGCTAATTATTTTACTAGAGTGGTCGTTTTATTCTTATGGCAGCCGGCAGGTCCAAATTGCTACTGTACCGGCAAAACGGGCCTCATGTCGGGCTTGGAAGAGATTCACATTCTTCAAGTCTACCTCTTCCCACGAGAGCAGCTGGGGCATCTCAGGTGGCTCCTGACGGAGGCTTCAGGCTGTTGAGGGCGTCAACAAATCGAAAGACAAACCTAGGCTAGCCTAGGTTTAAGAAGAACGAAACCTTACAGTCTTACAGTGGAATTCGATCGTGTTTGATCCATCCAGCCTCTTCGTCGTCTTCCAGCCCGGCTTCCTCCTCACACGCTGCGATCTTTACTGACGCCCAGAACACTGACGCCCAGCTTCTAGGTCGACCCTCATTTGGGCGAAGCCAGCAATAAAGCACAAAACATTCACATGTCCGCTGTTGTCCTCGACTTGGCATCTACTGCATTTGCAAAGGAAGCCCCAGTTGGACAGCAAGCGCTTGCGCCGTTCGCGCAAGGGCACCTGGGCTGTAAAATTGTAAGCCCACACCAGTCAAAGCAGCCTTTACACCAGCAGTATGGCTACAGTGTTCGGATCAAAGCAGGAAAACAAACCAAGTGAACAAAATCAGGCAGAATCCCTTACATTGGTTCCAGTGTCAGCTTCTGTGCACCCAATGGGTGCAATAGGGCAGTGACTTTGCGAAGCTCAACTGAGAGCCTTTCGTGAAGCTCACACAGAAGCCGCTCCAGTGATTGAGCTCAGGGAAGCACAAAAAGGCAATCTGAGTTGTAGCTGTAAACAATCCTGAGCTCAACTTCATTCACACAAACAAGTCTGGCATTGAAGCCACCAATGGGACAATGGGAGTGTGACGCTTGCTTGCCACAATCGTGTCTGGGTTGGCTGATGATTTGACTTGCCTTGCACCATCTGAAGCCACACAACACAAACATTCACACAACCCCTCTTGTTGCGTGCAAATGTCTCCGTACCTCTGGCTATGCCCTGCTCAGCTACAACAACCATAGCTGTATGGCACTCCTTCCAGGAATCAGGCAATCATGCTGCTCACTGCAAAGTTTGCAGGTGGTGCACTCTCCTCATGCGGGGGCAGCTGGGTGATGGCAGCATTGGGCGCGCAGCTGTGGTTGAAGAGCGCCATGATGGGCAGAAAGCAACAGCCATTCAGCTCGAAAGAGTTGAAACGCACCTTAGAATACCTTGGAATACGCAGCCGGCTCGGCAGCCGGGGAGACTGAAGGTCCGGGCCAGGGCAGGAATCTACGACAAGTTGCAACACATAGCAAGTGCTTTTGGGCGAACTCCTTGCAGTATATTGACTTTGTTTCAAGGGTGCATGTGATAGAGCATGAAAGACCCCACCTTATTTATCAAAGGTACTGCCATGTCACTAACTAGGGATGTATACATGTTAGGGGCAACAATTATGGGGTCAGGAGGCCAAGTCGCCAAACTTCCTAGAGGCAAGAGCATTGGAATTCCAGTCCATAGATTGTAGAGTTTTAGAAGTTACAGCAGACAGTAGACATGTTGCGCATATGTTGTGCATATCACCCCAATATACTCCAATAATAATTCTGGATACCACCTGCAACTGCCATAAGGAGGCCATTGCTGACGAAATACGCATCAAACCACTCCTTGGATACACGGCTCAAAACCTCTCGGCATACAAACCCGTTTAAGTTCATGTACTTCACAGTAGCAGGATGAGGATTCAGCCTCTTTCCACAATTTTGTTGCAGGATCCGAACTTATTACAGTAGGTAATCATGTCAGTGGATTCGATTGGATTATTATATAAATGGGCCAAATGAAACAAAGATTCAACATTTTCTGGATGTTGGAAGATCGAAGCAACCTGGAACAACTCCTTCCAGCTTCCACCCACTCTTCCACCATCTTCCACCCATACCTGATGTTTGAGACTTACTTCTTACGTATTGGACAAATCAAATAGCCGCCTGCATCATCATCCTCCAGCACCCCGGAAAGGCCGAGGAGCTTCCTCGGAAACTCCGTGGGGCAAGGTTCCGGCATGGCCTTGCAAGTCGGTTTGGGTACATTTGCAGGTCTAGGTAATGGCCTTGCACCCACAGCAAAGACAACTCAAACATGTTGACTGTGGCATACCTAGCTATGGTGGTGGAATGTTCACTTGATGAAACTCTTGGCATCTCTTGGCTTTTGTTTCAATCATCCAGTCTCTTTCCCTTCTGGATCATCTTGGTATTTTTCACACTCCAAAGTGGAATTAAATCGTCAGAATGCTTCTGTCATGTGACTCAGTCAAAACTGGTGCACACACACACACACACCACTCTCCATCTGTCCACATACTCTGCGTCTGCGTTTCATTCCACAACTTTCCCATCTCTGTGTCAGGCGACGGCCCGACTGAACTTCTCATCGTCTGTCTCACCTTCTAAGTGGCAAAGTGGACCTGTGTGAAGGTGAGAGACTTGTGCGCGGGCCTGTCAGACGGCTCTTCGCAAAGCAAAGAGGCAAAGCAAGGCCCCCCCCGTGTGAGGTGTTTCCCAGTCAATGTGATTCACGCAATTCTCCACTTACTTTAATGAGGAACCCCAAGGTCACAATCCTCTCGATGGACACAATCCTGATAGTCCTGCAGTGTTCCGCACCACCCCGCACTCCCCAGTAGTGCATTGATGTCTGACTCACCCACGACCTCGCCTCGGCGGAAGCTAAAACCTCTAACGCCAAATGCTCCGGGCTCTTGGCGCGGAAGCCTTTCTCGCGGAAAAGCACTTCCTCAGAAAAGCGGCATGCCGATCATAATTTTCAACGCGGATGCATCACTACATGCTCAAAACGCTTGCATGCGGGATCCGAGATTCAAGATTTTGAAACAGTTCTTGAATCCATAACCTCTGTTAGTCCAAGTGTCAATATGAACATGTGTCGTGCTGCTGGAATAAACCTCACTGAATAGTCTCAAAGTCTCATGCTGCACTGGCCAGGTCTCTAAAAGTCATTGATCACTAAAAATCGATCAACAAATTGATGTCGTTGGCCACCTGATGCACTAGATCCACAAACTGATCCCTCCATGGGGCTCCTTTGGCTCCAAGCATCCCCGCAGCGAAAGTCTTTCCCTGCAACCAGACCTCGACCTGCACGTACCCAGCTTGGGGGGAGCACCCGCTCAGGTCCATTCCATGTCTGCTGAAATCCCTAAATGGTGCATTTCTGGTAAAGAGCCTGCAAACATCATGACACCCCTTGCTAGTGGCCCCAGTGGGGTTGGGTTACATAAATTTTTAGTGTATGCCTAATGCCTATGTGTGCCTTCCACTCAACTTGAAACTCCTCGCCAGGCTGCCCGATGTGATCCGATTTGTGGAGGGGAACCAGTTCTTTCGTGAATCACCTCACTTCACGCCTTTGGGACCCAAGTCTTGCAGCTCCAAGCCATAGGCCGCCCATGGCTCAAGGTCCATTTTGCATCACTTGCAGTGCTCCTACAGAGCCTGAATATTGCATTCAAGGCCTGAAGAGAGGGTCACCACTACAGCCTACGGAGCGAACGTGTTTTTGTGGATGCTTTTTGCAGCTTGGATTGTTCGGGCATCAACTGGCCCATGTGTTGAACCATCTTGTCATATAGTCGCGTTGGCTCTGCAGAACCTGCTTCTCACCGCACGCGCGCCGGTCTTGGGACAAGCACAAGAGGCGCGGGCAGTCTGTCCTGCTCACAAAATGGCAAACAATGCAAACAGTTGCAAGACTCCGGATGCTTGCATGTCTCGGCAGCCTTCCACATCTGTCTTCCGTCCCTCTTCAAGTTGTTGCACCAAAGGCATGTGGAGTTGATTGGAAGATCCAATGTCCACCTAAACGCACCTAAAACTCGGCTTGAGGACCCCACGATGAAAGCTGGAGCCAGCACCTTCATACCCTGGCTCGACATCGTTCTGTGTGTCTACAAGCAGCGGGACTTCACTTCTTTGCATGGTGAATGTTGACATCTGGAACATCAATCACAAGCAACAAACTGCCCAACATGAGTCCATCTGGTCCGGAAGGTCAGCAACAACGAACACGAATTTCACTGCAACATACTACAACTGATTACTCCTGTAATTATATATATATAGGGATCTGAAGCGTATTTTCCTTGTCCTCCTTCGCCCGAAGTGAATATATATATAAAGTGGGCCCCACTGGATCGAAGCCCTGAGCTCTGGACGATGTTGGCCTTTGGAGAGCTCCGCAGCTCCGAGGGGGACCGAGAGCCTTTCATCAAAGCATTCAAGTACCAGCACCATACAGCACCATAACACCCCACATATGCTAGTTAGATTATGTTAGACTCCGACTGAAATGCACATTCTAGAGAGCTTGAAACTAGATCACTGAACAATTGCAAAAATGATTGGGTGGTCTACGACCAGCAATGCCAAAAGGCCACATGACCAATGTGCCATGATTCTTGAATGCTGAAGAAGGCCTGTGCCAAAGAAGGCCACAGCATCTGAGCCTTGACCCAACAGGGAAGTCAACTTCCGGTCCAAGCATTCCGGGACCACTGTGTTGACCCTGCAAAGCTGCAGTCAACATTAATTGTCACCGAACTTTGCAGAACAAAGAGTTCAGGGTTGACCCATGACCAAACATTACAAGGTTCGGTTCCGGTTCCAACCACCTCTTAGACAGGAATCTCGAATTTCCATCACCAAGCAATGAAATTACTGAGACGACCACTGCTGGTGCGCGCGGTGCCTGCGCAGGCCCAAGGAACAGCTCTCTGTTCACTAGAAGGATTCAATTGAACGAACCCCCCTTCACTAGGTGGTCCCCAAATACTCCCGATGCCCAATCTGATCCAATATATATATATTATATATATGGAATCATGGTGCCAAAGCAATCGCATCCTTCGACGTGCGACCCCCAACTATATTAGTCAGAAAGCATTGTGCATGTGTTTGTGTGTTTGTGTGTGTGATCGCAGTTTGACGAGGGAATCAAGGACACGCTGGCACAGCATCATGATCATTTTCCAAATTGGGGCCACAATGAATGAAGGAGTCCACTTTCCCCTTTCTGACTGAATCAACTAATGGCCTTCTGCGCTCAAGATGTGTTCCATGTTTCCGGAGAAAGGATAGCGTGTTGGCCTACGTATGTCTGCAACATCTTCTACGTACCAAGTGTGCCACCTAAGGACACCCATGTCACATTGCAAAAGGGATGTCATAGGGAAAGGAACCACAAAAGGAGCTTCCATCCAACAACCGAAATTGGGACTACACTCTGTCCACCCCCACGCAGCTACCTGGTTTCTGTAGGGGCGAGTCCAAGGATGCTCTTGAGCGCGTGTCAGAGGTGACCTCAAATTGCATGAACCAAAAGTGTCTCAAGGTCTGAGCAGCTAGTGACTCAAAAGCCACAATCAGCACAAAAACATGCGCACAATGTCTCAAAAGTAGTCTTCAGATGTCTTCACTGGTCTTTTTCCTCCAATTCTCAGATGGTTTAACGATTGGCAAACCCTTCACACTCGGCTCCGTTCTGAGCACTTCACAGATGTCGCAGTGAAGGCCTTTGAGCTGCGGCCCACGGCCACACCAGGCACCAACTCAGGACCTCACCAGGAGCGTTTGCGCTTATGTTTGGTGAAGTCTTTTTGCGGTCGTGGTTTTATAGTATAGTTCCTCCAGTGGAAGTGGAAAGCTAGCTGTTTGTAGAAGAAATACAGTAGCCGTCCTGGAGTCCAGGAGGCGACTAACATGTGCATGATTATTTCAGGGCGTCTAGGGCCCGTGACCTGACTGCCAGGCAAAAGCAAAAAGTCCGGCCGCAGGACAAACAAACATGAGACAAGTGCATCATGATGGAGTAGGGAGTAACAACTGAAAAAACATGTTCGTATGATGCACTTGGGCTGACCCTCAAGGTGAAACAAAACACAACAACCAGTAGAGTTGAAAGGAGAAGGAAAAGTATATAGAGAGAGAGAGACATATGGAAAGCTATAAAACAATAATAATAATAAAGCAACACAAACTCAAGGTTTCAAAAGCAACCAATAAAAGCAACGGCAACAAAGGCCATAGAAAGCAACAACAGTTAAAACAGGGAAATAGTACGCCACATGAGGAGAAGACGCAAGAAAGTAAAGAAAGCAGGAGAAATGCCAGGAAGAGCAAACGCTTCACTTTTGTTGCTATTTCTGTGAGGCTCCCCTAGTATATACTTTGAGCAGGTTGATGGATCACTGATGGTATATAAGTTAAGGAATTAAAGGTGTCTTGGCCAGCCCCCATGTGGCGAGTAGTTGGTGTGGAAGCCTGCTGCACATCATAACCAGTGATGGGAAACTTGCATTGCAAGTGAATCCTTCACAGTGGGCTCTAAAGGCCATCAGCCCCTAGCTCAACCACAAGCTCGAGCCCAAAACACAAACTCAACTTCAGTTCACCTAATCAAAGAAATTATCCCTGCAGTCCTGCCCTTGTCCGTCCTTGACAAACGTGTTCTTTCTTCATGGCAATTCTTGTACAAGTAGCAAGGGCCGTCACTATGGTGGATTATTCTTGCCTTGCTCAAAACACGTCTCCTATGCTGGGTCGTTGCTCGTCCAGAGGTGGGTTTCCACGACGGTCCGCTCGGGAAACCCAGCCCCGCCCCGCCTGTGCTTTCCGGGTGGCCTGTGCTGGCGGAGGCACTATAGCGCTGTAGCTCGTCACGCTGGCGTCTCACCTGGAGAGGTAGAGAGGAAAAGTGGACCACATTGAAAAGAACATTCGGGATACAAAACTGGACTTCACTAGATCAGTAATTATATAACTATATAACTCCTTCTAGGTTGATCCACCAAACTTTCTTGTTCAACTTAATTTACAGTAATTATCAACATTATCCACATTATATGTGATATTCACAGCATGTCAAGCCCCTCCATCACACCCAACATACTGGACACTGATGGTCCGTTTCTGAATCATCAGTCACGTTCGCCGAACCGTTCGCCACGAACCCTGCATCGAACTCCGTTCGCTGAACCACTGCATGCTAAACTTTCAGCATCTTTCAGCCAAATGACTGATGCCAGCTGGTTTTCCAGATCGGCCACCAGTGCCTCCGGAGAGATGCAACGGGTGATGTTTTCCCACCACTGGCGGCTAGAGGAGGAAACATTAAACGGCTTCACATTGAGCTGTCACGAGGATCTTCCTGCTTGCCACAGGTTTAGGTTTTGTAAACATTGTGGATATCTTGACACAAGTTCCAGCCTGCAATCTACCCACCTCCTCGTCGACATCATTCTTCTGAACCTTCCATCACATGGGCTGCCCGCTAGCCTTCTGCCATAAAAATCATAAAGCCCTTGACCAGGCAGCATATGTACATCTCTAAAGTAGACTGTCAAAGAGCATGCAATTGTCAACGACAATACACTAACAGTCGTACTGATCTCTTGCTCTATGTGCCTATGATCTAAATCATCCAATGAAACTTGTTCTACCATCGACCATCGGCCGCCGATGTACAATGAATTGATATGAATTCAACCTCCGGACAAATCTACCTCGGTAGCTTTCGAGGCCTGTTAGCTCAGTCCCACAGAGTCATATGGAGCCTCCAGAGTGTAGAGCTTCTCCGAGACTTCCTCAAAAACGCGCTTCCCCTCCTCATGCACTCGCTGCAAGGACTGCTTTCGCCTCGGAGCTCATGAGTTGGTCCACATACGGCGCGGAACTTGCTGCCACGATTCGCAAGGGCTTGTGACACTTTTCCCGTGCCGCTAAGAGTTTTGAGAAGGTTTAAAAACAATACAGCAAGCATTCCATCCTGGGGTGAACTGTTCATTGAATTGGCCATCTCCCGCCTTGTTTCAACGGCCTCGCTTCCAGGCTGCACAGTGTCCAGCAGCTGCTCCAACTCAGCAAAGTGAGTGCTTTGTTCAGCAGCGGGTAGCCGCTACTCGCTGTGGTTTGTCTGCGCAAATCACGCGTGGGGATTCAAGAATGCGTGATGAGTCCTGGGTCCGTTTCAGATCAGGTCTTTCAGCCTAGGCATCCAACCTCCTGGGAGTGCCGCAAGAGTATGCGGAGCTGTGCTGAAAGAAATCGGCATTGCCTAAACGGCTGAAGACTGTGAGCAAAAAAGGTGTAAAGGACAAACATCATCAAATTGATTGGGTCTTTGGTTTTCTATGAGTCGAGTTCTCTTTATTAAAAAACAAGATGGAGCCCACGAACCCGAATGCAAACACGTTCAAAAAGCTACATATGTCCAAATGACACTCTTGTAGGACACTCTTGTGGGACACTCTTGTGGGTCACTCTTGTAGGATACTCTTGTGGGACACTCTTACGGGACACTCTTGTGGGACACTCTTGTGGGACACTGTTGCGGGACACTCTTGTGGGACACTCTAGTAGGAAACTCTTGTGGGGCACTCTTGTAGGACACTCTTGTGGGATACTCCTGTAGGACACTCTTGTGGGACACTCTTTTGGGACACTGTTGCGGGACACTCTTGTGGGACACTCTTAACGGACACTCTTGTGAGACACTCATGTGGGACACTCCTGTGGGACACTCATTTGGGACACTCTTGTGGGACACTCTTGCAGGACACTCTTGTGGGACACTCTTAAGGGACACTCTTGTGAGACACTCTTGCGGGACACTCTTGTGGGACACTCCTGTGGGACACTCCTGTGGGACACTCATTTGGGACACTCATGTGGGACACTCTTGTGGGACACTCTTGTGGGACACTCTTGTGAGACACTCTTGCGGGACACTCCTGTGGGACACTCCTGTGGGACACTCATTTGGGACACTCCTGTGGGACACTCTTGTGGGAGACTCTTGCAGGACACTCTTGTGGGACACTCTTGTGGGACACTCTTGTGGGACACTCTTGTAGGACACTCTTGTGGGACACTCTTGTAGGACACTCTTGTGGGACACTCTTGTAGGGCACTTGTGGGAAAGTCTTGTGGGACACTCTTGTAGGAAACTCTTGTGGGACACTCTTGTGGGACACTCCTGTAGGACACTCTTGTGGGATACTCTTGTGGGACACTCTTGTGGGACAGTCCTGTAGGACACTCTTGTGGGATACTCTTGTGGGACACTCTTGTGGGACACACTCTTGTGGGACACTGTTGCGGGACACTCTTGTGGGACACTCTTAAGGGACACTCTTGTGAGACACTCTTGCGGGACACTGTTGCGGGACACTGTTGTGGGACACTCCTGTGGGACACTCATTTGGGGCACTCTTGCGGGACACTCTTGTGGGACATTCTTGTGGGACACTCTTAAGGGACACTCTTGTGAGACACTCTTGCGGGACACTGTTACGGGACACTCTTGTGGGACACTCCTGTGGGACACTCATTTGGGAGACTCTTGCGGGACACTCTTCTGGGACACTCTTGTAGGACACTCTTGTGGGACACTATTGTGGGACACTCTTATAGGACACTCTTGTAGAAACCCTTGTGGGATATTCTTGTAGGACACTCTTGTGGGACACTCTTGTAGGACACTCTTGTGGGGCACTCTTGTAGGGCACTCTTGTGGGACACTCTTGTGGGACACTCTTATAGGACACTCTTGTGGGACACTCTTAACTCTTGTGAGACACTCTTGTGGGACATGGTTGCGGGACACTCTTGTGGGACACACTTGTGAGACACTCTTACGGGACACTCTTGTAGGACATTCTTGTGGGTCACTCTTTTGGGACACTCTTGTCGGACACTCTTGTGGGACACACTTGTGGGACACTCATACGGGACACTCTTGTGGGACACTTGTCTTGTGGGACACGCTTGTGGGACACTCATACGGGACACTCTTGTGACTCTTGTGGGACACTCTTGTGGGACACTCTTGTAGGAGACTCTTGTGGGAGACTCTTGTGGGACACTCTTGTGGGACACTCTTGTAGGAAACTCTTGTGGGATACTCTTGTAGGACACTCTTGTGGGACACTCTTGTAGGACACTCTTGTGGTGTAGGGCACACCCTTCGTACGAGACTTCCTCCAAAAGTCACGCTGCGAGGCTGCAAGACGAGCGTTTCGTACGAGACTTCCTCCAAAAGTCACGCGTCAAGTCTCAAAAACGAGCGTTTCTTACGAGACTTCCTCCAAAAGTCACACGTCAAGTCTCCAAAACGAGCGTTTCGTACGAGACTTCCTCCAAAAAGTCACATGTCAAGTCCCCAAAACGAGCGTTTCGTACGAGACTTCCTCAAAAACTCACATGTCAAAGTCTGCAAAACGAACGTTTCGCACGAGACTTCCTCCAAAAGTCCAGCGGAAACACCCATCGGAGCACACACATCACGCAGCCCTGCCAAGCAGTTTCGCGAGTCCAGCCCCTCCAAACGACACCCGCTCACACGCCAATCCCAATGCGACAGCGACATTCACCTCTACCACAACTCACAACCTCCCGATTCCCTGCGCCTGCCACGAAAATCCCACTTCCACACCTCAAAACCCGCACAAAGTACTGCGCCTGCCACGAAAAGTAACAATGTCATCTCATGTGAGCTTCAACAAAATTTGCACCACCACACGTTTGCAATGATTTCGACCCGTTCTGAGCACACTCCCATCCACCAAAATCGGAATTTCAGCTGAGACTTGTCACGAAAACAGAGCTTCGACGCCACACCCTGAAACGCAAATCCCAATGGCACGGCCACATCCAACACCCCAAAAACACGACTCTCCAAACGCTAGTCCCAATGGAACTGCGCAGCAATCTGCCGATCTCACAAAACGCTGCGCCTGTGCAGCGAAACGCATCACGTTTCTTGCGCGACATCTCATTTTCATGCAAATCACAATGGAATAATAGCGACGCAAACTGACACGTGACACATCCATGAAAAGTCACTTGCAAAAGCTTCCCCCAATGGCAGCGCCTTAGCGCTCTACTGCGAACGGTTGCGAACGGTTGCGAACGGTTGCGGACGGTTGCGGACGGTTGCGAACGGTTGCGGACGGTTGCGGACGGTTGCGAACATAGAAGCAACGGGTCGCGAACAAGGCTCTACCCCCAGACCCCCAAGAGTTAAACGAGAACCCTTCGCTACGCATTCGGGAAAAAACTTCAAGTAGAAACGAAACCAGTTGCTGGTGCCTATCGGACATCATCTGCCGCGGCGAGATAATGTCTTCGTCATCCACAGCCATTGGCGGGTCCTGCCGTCAGCACCATGAAGCTCCTAGAAATCAATAGCATCACCGACCTTGATCGCAACCTACGAAAGTCATCAAAGTACTATATGCCTTTCCTTGTGCTCACGAATGTGCAGTTGTAATTATATGTTTTTGTCTATTTAAGCATGCATTATATGATCGCTATTAAACTGCTCTACAACCTGGATCGGCCGGCCTGCTGTGATGCCACAATGCTGTCCCGAGCCTCAGCTAATCAGTGTCATGACTCATGTACACGCAATTGAACTCACGTTCATGCAAAGTGCTCGATCCGTCCTTACGGCAACCTGCTGACTGGATTGTGAAAAAATCATGGCCAGCCATGGTTAGTTAGCAAGCAACCTCCCTTACGGGCCACCAAAATTTGTGCCACTAGCATGGGCCAACCTTCACCGCACAAAACTCCAACGCTAGCTTCCTTCGGTCAGCCAAGGTGCAGCCCGCAGCTTCTTGAGTTGATCCTGTTGGAGCTGGACCTCTGGAGCTGGCCGCAAGTTGCTGAAACCTCCAAAACTATACTGCTTTAACCTTCCATACAATCTAGGAACCAAGTTGCTTTACTTGGGGTGATCCCCACCATGGCACTTCAATCTGACAAATTTTCTTGCGTGTGTTGAAACAGTATTTCGGCGTTCTTTCAGGCATATCTTCTGACATATTTTCTGGCATATCGTCTGACATTCTTTCATCTGAGATTCTTTTTTGTATTTTTCCGGCATATCTTCTGACATTGCTTCTGGCACTTCTTCGGACATTCAGTCTGGCATTTCTGCTGGCATTCTTTCTGGCACATCTTCTGACATTCTTTCGAGAAGGGTCCGCTCAACATCCGCGGGCCCACGGGCCCAACGGCCCACGGGTTGTCGCGCACGAGCTCCAGGGACAAGAAAAGGGAGAGACACAAGAGATAAGATCAAATTAGATTAGATAAGAAAAGAAATTGAAGAAAAATAAAGCAAGCTAGGGCGAGATAAAACAAAAGGCTAGAAAATGTATGATAAGTTAAGGTAAGATCAGATACGATGAGATGAGGTAAGGTAAGGAAAGGTACGCTGAGAGGTCGGACGGGAGATGGAATCGATCGGGAAGACAGATTAGATAGAGAAGTTAGACTAGGTCTAAGTGCATTGGAAAGATGAGAAAGATTGGACACATGCAGAGATCAGATGAGAACAGACTAGAAAAGGTCAGATGAGATACGGAAGGGCAAGACACGTGGATCGGCAGATAGGAACAGATGGATTCGATCGGGTAGCTCGAGTAGATTCGTTCGACTAGACGAGGAAAAGATAGATCAGGTAGAGGCGATAGACTGGATCGATTGTAATGATTAGACCGATTAGGAAAACCCAAAGCATCCGAGATTGAAAAAATCAATCGCTATAGAGTTTTTCAATCGAAGATTGAGTTTGTGCAAAATTCAATCGATTTTTTTTTCAATCGAATTTATGCTTTTGAAATTCAATTGAAATTGGTTTTAAAATTCAATCGTTTTTGTCCTAGTTTTCTACTTGTTTGTGTCATTTCAAAATTTTTGGCATGCATGAGGTCTTCTCTGGGGCTGTCAAGCCCACAAGTGCAACTGGGCTGTCCAGCCCACAAGCTTGTACTTATGGAAACAAGTTAAGGCTGTCCAGCCTTCATGGGCTGTCCAGCCCACAAGCTCAAACGAGGGCTGCCCAGCCCACATAGCAAATAGTTATGGAAACAAGTCAGGGCTGTCCAGCCTAGTCTGCAGCCCATGGCAATCCAACTTGCAGCGCAGCAAGGCAATGTTTTCTCACTCTTCTGCCGAGTCGATGATATCCAGATTTCTGTACGCCTTGAGGAGTAGATGAAAAACCAGCCTGAATTTCATCAGCACCTTTCCAGTCACTTTGTGAGCTGGTGTGCCCCAAGTGCAGCTGGATGATATCTGCTTTATGATGCCCATAAAGCTCTCTGAGCCATAGCACCATGCGCTGGCTGGATGGATATGATGGGCTTGTGCCAGAAGGTGATTCAATTTGTGGTGCTTCTGCACCAGAGAATATCGACGCAAACCTTTTTTCAAAGGCATCATTGGCAAGCCATGAGTAGTGTGCAAGGAGAACTTGTCCTGCCCTTTCCAGGGCAATACCACATTCTGGAGACCACTCTTTCCAATTCTTGCCCAGCAGTGTGTAGATTCTCTGCAACTCCTCCAGCGTTGCAACTCTGTGTTGCCCTGCCCTGTCATCTGCATGGAGCTTACTCAGCTCCAAAGCCACTGGGGCGAAGTGTCGAATCTTGTTCCCCTTGATATGCTTGAGCGCAGGGCACTCCTCTGCAGATGATGCCACATCATTGAGGGTCAGGTGCTTGATTCTTTTGGCAGCTTCTATGCCCAACTTGCCATACATCTCAGCAATCTTCTTGTTCAGAAGCTGCATCTTGGCTTCTCCTGGGTTTTCAGAGTGACTAGGCCTTGGAGCGGTTGGCCTGCAGTCTGTAAAAGGCCTTTCACTGCCTGTCTTCTTCTGGTCTGCCAAGCAGTATGCACAAATCATATTGCTTGAGCTGTATGGGAAGCCAAATTCTGATGCGAACCATTCCAGATTGCCCACAAAACTCCCCTTCTCAGGGGTCTGCCCTTCACTCCATCCATGGGGCACCCCAGAATGGTTCTTCTTTGGTGCCTTGCCTTCATAGAGCGAAGTGAAGGACCAAGCCATGCATTCCATGATGGTGTTGAATGTTTCCTTGCTGACTGCTGCTTTTGGTATTGCAGCTAGAAGGAGCTGGCTGTCTCCCACAGGCATTGATGCCAGAAGGCATCTAAAGGAAATGACTTGTATGGAATCAGTCTCTGTGAAGGGTGCTGCATCACCATGCAAACACCATGGAATGGGGAGACTTTCTGGTCGATCAAAGTCCAATGATCTCCAGAGCTGTTGTGTCATCTGAGGGTTCCTTGGTTAAAGGGCTGTGCAGCCAAGAAAGCATCAAGGCCGCCAGCAAAAAAAATAAAAAGATTGTGGAATTTGTCCTAGGCTCTTTTTCTGGCTCTCCCAGAAAAGGATGAGGTCATTTTCAGTGCATGTCAGATTGACCAACAATTCCCCCTGCTGCAGCGATTCCACCCATTGGTGGGGCAAAAGAACAAAACAATCACATTCTGTGAGGCACTTCTCACCATCCACTTTCATGGACATCTGGCATGTGAGCTTATATGGGGCAGGTGCTTGCAGATGTGTGAAGCGTTTCCTGAGCAAATCTCTGTGAACATTCCCTGGCCCATGGCGCCAAGGCCCTGAAGCTGAAGCATCTCTGGTGTGCTTGCACCACTCTTCACAGCAGCATCAGCTAAATGTTGGAGTTCAATGGCACTTGTTGTGCCCAGTGCAAATTTCTGCACCAGCAGAACCCACAAGGGGCAAGGCTCTGACATATTCCTAGCTTGAGGCTATTGCGCCACCTGAAAATTGCAACCTTTTGCCTACAACAACATAAGGCTACAGGGCTGTCCAGCCCACCCTGCAGAACTGCCAACCCATCACCACAAGAAAGGCTGTCCAGCCTGTGTCCAGCTACATCTTCAAAAAGTTGTCAGAAAAAAGGCTGTCCAGCCTTTGCAATCATTCCTTCCTGGGCAGCTTCCCAAGCTGAGTGCAAAATGATTGCGCTCTCCCAGCACATTGGTGCCTATCCTGGCTGGTGCGGTGACCCTCATCAGAGCCTGCCTCAGGCTCCTTCTTGGCCTTCTTTTTGGGATGGTTCTTCTTGCAGGCTTGCACAGCCTTCACGGATGCCACCAAAGCATTCTTGGCTGCTTCCTTTTTGGATCCAGCGTCAGGGCTTGCCCCACTTGCTTTATGGCATCCCCTGCCAGCTTCACCATGGCCACAGCCTGCTTGCAGTCTTGGCTTTTCTTGTCATCAGCATCAACCATGGCTGCTTGGAAGAAGCTTTGCTCTTTGCAGAGCTCTGCTTTGAAAGCCAAAAGCTTCTTGGACAGTTCCTGCTTTGTGGTGGCAGAGGACACCTGGCTTGTCAGCTCCCATTTGTTTTTCTTCTCATTCTTTGGGTTGTCTTCTGGATCTTTGTGGCCCTTGTTTTTGTTGGAGCCACAGAATTTCTTGAGGTCTGGGTCCAGACCCATGGATGCAAAATCATCCTCTTCTCCCACCACTTCGATCCCCCAGTTGTCTTCAGCCTTGACGTCATCCAAAGTAAGGTTCTCATAGTCTGCCAGGGTGTCCTCTTTGGTGGCCTTGCTGGAGGAAGCCTTTAGCCGAGTGTTCCTGATCTTGGTAGCTTCCTGCGCAAAACTCCATGTACTTTGTGTTCTGTGGACATTTTCTCCATTTGAGGGTGGGGCTTGCTCTTTACCCAGGTCATCACAAGTCTTCTTCCAAGACCTCCACTTGTACCCTTCCTTGGACACATTTTTCAGCTCAAAGGCAATCACTGCCTGCCTGTAGTGTTTTTGCAGCTGGCCACCATCTTTCAACCAGGCCCTGAGCAGCATTTGCTTCTTGGCAGTGCTGCCAGGCCCACTTGTGCTCGGGGCATACTTCTGGTCTTCACCTTCCATTTCTCTGTTCATCGTGAACCTCTTCCACAGAAGCATCATGGTGAGGTTGTCTAGCCCACCAAGCTTGTTTTTCAGGTTGTCTTCATCAAGTCCGTTCAGCTCAGCCATCAGGCTTTCAATTTGGTCATGCCTCTTGACTTGTGCCTCTGTGAGGTCACCCTCAGCGCCTTCCACTTCTTCGACTGGCTGGCTAGCTGTGGCTGGTTTCTTGCTGACACTGGCTGCAGCAGCTGCCACAAGGGTTGTAGCCCTGCCACAAGCACCTCAAGTTGTCTCCGAACACAGAGGCCCCTCCACCACCCCTCTGGTCATGAGTTGCAAGACCTTTCCCATAGGCATCTGGCGCCTTCCCTTTTGCTGCCCCTTTGCAGGGGCAGCTGCTCCTTTCCCTTTGGCATCCATGGCTGCTTAAGCCAGAACTGCCTGCTACTCTTTCCAGTTGCTCGGGCCCTACAAAGTTGCAACACAACATATACTTGTTATGGCTGTCCAGCCAAACTAAACAAGGGCGGGCTGCGCCCAATGCCACCAAAAAGGGCTGTCCAGCCCACACAACTGCTTTGAAGGGGGCTGTCCACGCCGTGCAGCCCACTGGAAAAACATTGCCCACCAAAAAAGAACTGCACGCTTGCACAAAGGTGGGCTGTCCAGCCCACTGCAGCCAGGGTACTTGCAAAAAGAAAGGCTGTCCAGCCCAATTTCCTGCGCGCTTGTTTTCTTTTCAAATCTCCTCACTTGTTAGGCTGTCAGCCAGCTTGCATGGTCTTATGGGCTGCATACAGCCCTGCCAAGCCTCAAATTAAGCCATGTAGCCTTCCAGCTACTTTTCCTTTGCCAGTCTTGCAGCTTTCCAAGCCTTGGCATTCCCCAATTCAGCCAGAAGCCTTTCAGCCAAGGCCTTGGACAGCTTGGCACCCTGCTTGCTTTTGTTTTGATCTGGATCAGCTGGGGGCCCTTGTCTATGCGAATTGCCATGGCACCAGTCTGGTTGTAGGGCATCAGTTTGAGCTTGTGGTCTGCAAAGCAAGTATCATCTGCAACCTGTGGCTTTTTGGCGCCATTGCCTTTGCTCTTCTTTGTTGCAGATGGTACTGCCTCTGCACTTGCTGCAGGCCTTTTTGCTGCTGGCTTCTTCTGGGCAATGGCTTCTGTAAGAACAGCTTTCCTCACACAAATGGGTTCAGTCCCCATGGCTTCATCGAGCAGGCTGCCACCCAATGAGGACTTTGTGGCAGGAATAGCCATGTTCAGCAAGTCTTCTGTTTTAGAAGTTGGTGAGCCACACTTGGGAGAAGCTGGCGTTTTCTTGGCCTTCTTTGATGCCTTCACAGGCAGACCTGGTGACTTGGGCTCAGATGGTTCAGGGACAAGTATTTTCTTCATTCTCTCAAGCTTGCCCACCTGGAAGAAGTGAGAGGCCTTGCTGCAAGCTTCTGGGAATTTTGAAGGCTGCCTGGACAACCTCCTGCAATGATTGCAAATGACAAGGATGCTTTCAGAGAGCTTACTGCTCAGCTCCACAATGCCAGGATACTGCTGAGGGTCTCTTTGAGGCCAGTCTTCCGATCACTGTACTTGAACTCAAGGCTGTGGCCGACCTTGCGCAGGTCAGCCACCAAATCTTCCATGTCACACAGGCTGGAGGCAACCACTGCCTGCTCCCTGGTCAGGTTGTGGTACTTGCCAAAGCAGAAAGCATGTTTCACACCCACTTTCCTGACATAGCAGTTGAGAATGTCTAACAAATGCTCCACATCAATGTCAGGAACTTTGTTCCTTCTGGGGCCACCTCTACCACCTTGTTTTGGCATCTTGCACAGCTGCAGATGTTGAGTGCATGCATGGGATTGTCCAGCCCATTTGGACACTTGGGGCTGTCCAGCCGATTCGGAAGACACTTCGGGCTGTCCAGCCCATGGGAGACCTACAGTGGAGGCCGTCCAGGATTGAAAAACCTCTGTTGAAAATTCAATCGTTTTGGTCTTTGTTTTTCAAGCGAAATAGGTTTTTTGTTTGGAGACATTTCTATTGAAAATGGTTCCCAAAAATCAATCTTCAATCGAAGGTTGATTTTGTCAAAAAATCAATCGTTCTATTGAATTTTTTCAATCTCGGATGCTTTGGGAACAGGACAGCCAGGACCAACAGGATAGATAGGACACACGAGCTCAGCTCACCGAACGCACATTCCCACAACATTTTGGATACCAAGACAGATAAGATTAGATCAAACAGGATCGGGGAAGAGAAGAAAGCATGAGATAAGATGAGGTAAGCTAGGAAATGACAAGAAAAAACTAGAAAAGGTAGGATAGGAAAAGACAAGGCAAGAAAACTATGCTACCTGGCTAGGTAGACAGGTACATAAATACATGGAGTCGAGCAGGTAGACAGATGCCATCGAGAAGACAGACCAGGTACATTGGAAAGATGAAAAAGATTGGACACATGAAGAGATCAGATGAGAACAGACTAGAAAAGGTCATGATGATATACGGACGGACAAGATACGTGGATCGGTAGATCGGAACAGAACTATAGATGGATTCGATCGGGTGGCTCGAGTAGAGATGGCTTTGATCGACTGGTTGAGGAAAGATAGGTCAGGTAGAGGCGATAGACTGGATCGGTTGTAAAGATTAAATTAGACCGATTAGGTAAACAGGACAGCTAGGACAAACAGGATGGATAGGACACGCGAGCTCAGCTCATCGAACGCACATTCCCACGACATTTTGTATACCAAGCTTCCGTGCAAGAAACATCTTCCAAAAAACTTCAACCAGGAACATGAAAGGAGATAGACAGTTATGAATAGATCAAACAGGATCAGAGAAGAGAAGAACTGCATGAGAGAAGATAAGATAAGATGAGGTAAGCTAGGAAGTGATAAGAAATGTAACAAACTAGAAAAGGTAAGATAGCATAGGATAAGGTAAGAAAACTATGCGACCTGGAAAGGTAGATAGGTACATAAATAAATGGATTCGATCAGGTAGATAGATTACATAGAGGAGATAGACTAGGTTCATTGGAGAGATAAGAAAGATTGGACACATGAAGGGATCAGATGACAACAGACTAGAAAAGGTCAGCTGAGATACGGAAGGACAAGATACGTGGATTGGTAGATAGGAACAGATTTTTAGATGGATTCCATCGAGTAGATGAGGAAAAGATAGATCAGGTAGAGGCGATAGACTAGATCGATTGCAAAGACTAGATTGATTAGGTACACAGGACAACTAGGAACGCACATTCCCGCGACATTTTGGATACCAAGCTTCCGCGCAAGAAACATCTTCTAAAAAACTTCAACCAGGAACACCACAGGAGATAGACAGATAAGATAAGATCAAATAGGATCAGAGAGGAAAAGAAAGCGTGAGATAAAATGAGATGTATCTATACAAGGATAGGTCACCCTGCAAAGAGTAGATAGAGTAGGTAAACAGGACAGCTAGGACAAGCAGGATAGATAGGACACACGAGCTCAGCTCACCGAGCGCACATTCCCGCGACATTTTGCATACCAAGCTTCCGCGCAAGAAGCATTTTCTATAAAACTTCAACCAGGAACATGACAGGAGATAGGATTAGATCAAAAAAGGATCAGAGAAGAGAAGAAAGAATGAGATAAAAGCAGATGTATGTATACAAGATTATACAAGGGTAGGTCACCCTTCAAGAAATACAAAGCGAAAATGTACCCGAAAATATTTACAGACTGCAATTTGGTTCATGTATTGTTCTACTCATGACCGAGAAAGAGTACGGATGAACATCCTGGTTCGTCGTTACAAAGTATGATGGTCATACATGCGTTAGAGGATCACATTAAAGTATTAGGATCCTCATCCTCATCCTAATCCTCATCACGGCTATGCTATCATCGTCCTTTGGAACTTCCGGAACGGGCCCATCCACAGGCCCACGGGCCCGTCCACGGGCCCACGGGCCCACGGGCCCGGATGTTGAGGAGACCATAGCCATTCTTTCCGGCATCTCATCATGGGCACTCATTCTGGAATATCTTCTGCCACTCTTTCTGGCGCTCTATCTGGCATATCTTCTGACTCGCGGTTGAGGTCTGGCGGGGAACTCTGCCATCCTGCACTTGCGATTGAGGTCCGGAGGAGGAGGACGAGGCGGAGGAGAAGGAGGACGGCAGCTGACATACAATCTAACAAACCTCACCTGACAGGTGCGGACTCATTAGCGTGAGCTATCCTGCGTCGAGTTACTAGTAGCATACTAGTACGGTACTAGCAACTCCCGAGCTACTAGCTACCTACCTAGCTAACCTACCTCACCTCCACTAGCGTCACTAGAGGCCCCGGACTAATTTAGAAAGGCGCCGGGACCACAGTGAGCCATTTGGGCAGTTCGTAGATTCTATGTGTAGCCCTCCTCGCCTTGTTCTCAAGAGCCACAATCTTCTCACCTGAGAAAAGGACCAAGGTAATGCTATCACTCTGCATCATTGGACTGCGTACAGCATGTATACGAGGGGCGGTCAAAAACTTTGTGGTCTTCTTACACTAAAATCCGGGCATTGTTGGCTTTGAGGTGGACCTTATCGTTTTTTTTGGTGTTGTTGCGTTTGCAACGACATACTTATAACTTATGACCCTACATCATGTATCATGTACAATATTACAGTACATAATATAAGGTGCTGGGGTATCGGTTTGAGGTGGACCTTATCGTTTTTCAAGGTTTGTGCACGAACCTATCCTCTCTCCTGAAGTGGTCGTCGCGTGTTTTGATCGTAGCTCAAAAAGTCTTTTCATTGGTACGGCCTGATGTGCCTTTACAATCTTTAAACTGTCTGGACGGTTACTTCTCATCCTGCTAATTACCATCCCCACATAGCTCTGCTTCCCCTTCCAAGTCGGGCCTGCCAGCGTTTCATTGGTGGCTTGATCTTTCGCCCTGGATACATGGTGCGTGGCATCCGGTCATGCTCAGCTGATTGGACTAGAAGAAAACCTAGAATCTGCTATTGTTGCATTCACCGTCCTAACACGGCGGAAGTTGATCAGTACCAAAAAGATGTTTCTTTAGAGTTATCTTTCAGCCGTTGCCATGGCTGAGAACGACGACACCCAACAACTGAAATTCTCAATGAGATTATACGCAAAGGAGATTGCAGCGGTGTATTGACCGAGTTGTGGGCACAAAATTGGTGCAAAATGCAAACTGGTCCATCAATGAGGGTGGAGATACGATGAGAAGAGATGAGGTAGCTTGAGATTAGATGGAGAGTGCTGAACCCACCTGACCTAAACTGCATAGGGGGCTGAGACTAATGCCATCTGGTGATTGCTTGACTCCTTGGTAGTGAGACCTCTGACCAAAATTAATCCGTCCTTTCCTCCGCGAGGATGAGCCCATGGACCCTTGAAGTGGCTAAACTCGGCCAATTCAAACCTCAAACCAACACCCTTGCACAGTCGCCGCACACCCCAAGGCCCCAAGGCCTACGCTCCAATTCACCCTTGGCAGCAAGCTCCTTTGGCACATCAATTGGTCAGGAAGCACACTTCTTTGAACCTGTATCTTCTTCTAGCTGCCAGCTTTTGATAATGGCATGTTGAACATGTTAGTCATGAGAAAGAACGGGTGCTACTGCAGCTATTGCTCATACAGTTACTCATCCTAAAGGTTTCGAAAAAAGAGAAACGACACGGAGTCTTATCGATCACCTATCGTCGTCAGCGAGCCCCGCAAACCGCAAACTTTTGTTCCAAGAGCTTCCAAGAGCTGAGCGGTCAGGGCACTGGTCAAGTACCGGTGGCGCTCCGGGTGAGATGATGGGTGCAATCCGCACGTCTCAGCTGACGAGCGTTGCCGTGTGTTCTGATATTTTGTTCGTTTATGTTCGTTTATGTTCTGATAGATAGATCGCAACACCAAAAACCTCCCAAGATGAAAGTATGTAAAATGATGAAACACGATAAATCTGCCACTGAGCATGCCCGCGCAGCTCTCAGTCAATATCCATGTATCGAAGGTCGATGTTCTCGATGACCTCTGTTCCCTTTTGGGGTGCCTCTTTCTCTCGATGCTCTTCTTCCAGGACCTTGCGAGCGAGCCGGAACCGTGCGAGCAAAAGAGCGAGCAAAAAGAAAGGTACAAGCGTTTGCTCTCACTGACTCCGAAGAGCAAGCTTTGTGAGGACAGCCCCAATACTTTGTGATCCTGCCTCTGTTGAACAAATAAGTAATCGATAATCATTACCCCTTCCATCCCCTTACTACTTGACCTGGCGTCTTGGACAGAACTACTCAGCTACTATGCCAGCACCATGCCTTCATCTTCGAAGCGAATTCGCTTCTCATACAAATCCCGCACCTGACCCAGCTTGAAGAGCTCGCGCAGCGTCGCCTCGGGAGTTGGAGTTGATTCAACAACTGACTGAGCGGCATAGCGGTCACCACCTGCGAGCCTACAATCTACGAGAGACAAGAACGTATCATGACCCGAAACATCTATTTAGGTTGTTGGGTGTTCGCCTGCAACATGGAAAGTGGGCCACGCTCTTTGCACTGCTTGACGATGAGCAACAGCAAGCATAACAACTGGAGGAATGACATGGATCAACATAGACCCAGTCTCACAATCTTTCAAGAGCCCCTCGACAAGCCCATGACATCATTTCATCAAAGATTGAATCTTGTGGGCCGGACCACTAAGTTATATAGGATGACTCCACTTTGAGGCTCTAGAAACTTTCAACACCAATTAGCCGATCAGTAGCATGTGGGAGATCAACACAAAATCGTGGTGCCTACTGCAATCCTCAACACATCTGAGAATCTGGGCCATTTCACTCCGGAGACACACACAGTAGGCAACAAAACCGACCCAAAATCCAAGCGGCCTCTACTTCATTCTGCGCATTCCGGAGACGTTCCTGCTTCCGCATCTTCATCCTCATCGTAAAGGCCATCCTGCCCACGCAATGATGGGGTGGTCTTCAGGGGCTGCCTGAATCTACGCGGCCAGGCCGATAGGAGGAAAGGCCAACCTGCAAAACATGGCCCAGTCTTGGATTAGCCAGTTCCTACTACAAAGCACTTCCACATGCAACTCCTTTGCAATAAAGGACCAATGAAGTAGGAAACTTGAGGCCAGGGGGAGGAGGTCGAAAGCTAGCCGAATCGCACCGGATGTACTAGTCACATAGTCGGCAAAGCATGTAGTGAGTACATGTTCTGGGAGGAAGGTTGCTATGTACATACTTTGCGCTAAAGAATGTAAATGTGACATCGCTGACTGGGACTGGGAAGGGTACATTGGAACAACCCGGGTGCACTCGTTGGCAGGCACGAAGATGCGTGATCGGCAAATCTGGGGGGTAAATTTACCCTCCGCTTTTGTATGCCTTGAGGGATAAGCATTTCTGACATCATACGGACTGTACATACACTAGGGCGTCCGTAGTGTAGGAGAAACACGGGTAAAAGGTGTATGGAATAGAGTGTCTTGAGGAAATAGCCGGCTTATGGTTATTGCAAATCTGGGGGGTAAATTTACCACCCGCTTATGTATGCCTTGTGCCGGAAAGAGGAGTAAGCATTTCTGGCATCACAAGGACTGTGCAAACACTAGGGCGTCCGTAGTGTAGGATAAGCACTGTTAAAAGGTATAAGGAGCAGAGTGTCTTGAGGAAATAACCGGCTTATGGTTATGGCAAATCTGGGGGGTAAATTTACCCCCCGCTTATGTATGCCTTGAGCCGGAACGAGGGGTAAGCATCACAAGGACTGTGCATACACTAGGGCGTCCGTAGTGCAGGATAATTACTGGTAAAAAGGATGTAAAAGGTATCAGGAATAGAGGGTCACGGTTGTATTCGGAAACTGGACGGTTGTATTCGGAAACTCGGCGGTTGTATTCGGAAACTGGAACGGTTGTATTCGGAAACTGGGATTCGGAAACTGCGCGGTTGTATTCGGAAACTGGTATTCGGAAACTGAAGCGGTTGTATTCGGAAACGGGAAGGGTGGTATTCGGAAACTGCACGGTTGTATTTGGAAACTAGTATTCGGAAACTACACGGTTGTATTCGGAAACTGGTATTCGGAAACTGAGACGGTTGTATTCGGAAACTCAACGGTTGTATTCGGAAACTCATATTCGGAAACTCGACGGCTGTATTCGGAAACTGCGGGGCCGGAATCTCTCTCCAGTGCGTGTATCTCGATGGCAATGCCAGGAAAACTGCTCTGAACGGATTTTCTCACAAGCGCCCCAACACCCCCCACACCCCACCCGCCCTCCATGGTACGCAACTATCCACATAAGCTTAATGCCCCTGCCCCACCCCCCCACACCCCCCTCCCCCCGAACCCACCGGAAAGCATTGGTCCGCGCAACCATCTACGAAAGCTTATTGCCCTACCCCTCCCCACCCCACCCGCCCTCCATGGTACGCAACTATCCACATAAGCTTCCCGCCCTCCATGGCACGCACTATCCACATAAGCTTAATGCCCCTGCCCCACCCCCCCCACCTCCCCCCCACCCCACCCTAACCCACGAAAGCATTGGTCCGCGCAACCATCTACGGAAGCTTACTGCCCCAGCCCAACCCCCCCACCCCACCCTGAATGCAAGAGAACGCATCAACTGTCCACGCGTGCGATTGTTCACATTGCCCCCTAGTTCGGGAATAGAAGTTTCTGAGCATGAGGAACAGTAGTTTCTGAATACGACGAACATAGTTTCTGAATACGACGAAAATAGTTTCTGAATACGACGAAAATAGTTTCTGAATACGACGAAAATAGTTTCTGAATACGACGAAATAGTTTCTGAATACGACGAAATAGTTTCTGAATACGACGAAAAGAGTTTCTGAATACGACGAAATAGTTTCTGAATACAAGAGTTTCTGAATACAACGAAATAGTTTCCGAATACAACGAAATAGTTTCTGAAGACTAGTTTCTGAATACAGTGCAGTTTCTGAATCCGACTTTGTTCAGGAATAGAGTGTCTTGAGGAAATAGCCTGTGTATGGTTATAGCAAGCCTTGGGAGTAAATTTACCACCCGCTTATGCATGCACTAGGTTAGAAATAGGGTAAACAACTTGTAAGGGTGAAGTACAAGTCCTATGCAGCAAGCAGCAGCCAGCAGCAACCGCCAAGCAGCCAGCCAGCAGCACCACGCAGCAGCAGCGCAGCACCAAGCCGCAGCAGCAGCAGCAGCAGCAGCAGCAGCACCACCGGCAGCAAGCAGCAAGCAGCAGCAGCAGCAGCGGCGTCGTCAGCAACAGCAGCAGCAGCACCAAGCCGCAACAAGTAGCAAAGCATGAACTACCTCAAATGATCTCAAATATACACGCAACTCATTATCATTATACCTATCAGTTTGTTAACTTCTGCATTGAATGAGCCACTCGAACCAGCAAAACGACGCCAACCCTGGACGGAGGCTGAAGGAACGACGTAGCATGGAGGTGAAATGGAGCGTGCGAGCTATCACGCAATTCATTCAGTGGAATGGTGGTATGCACCACAACAATAAGCGAAGCGGCGCAGCTGGGAGTTGAACCGCGGGGGGGGGGGTTAGCTTGATATATCAATCTTTAAGGCACGCAGCCCCTCCCACCACAACATTGCTAAAGCAAAGAAGAACTCAGCTAGCATGCTAGCTTTCGTGACCAGCAATACCCCAGAACCTTCTCTGCCGCAAGTCTACCTACAATCCTTTACGGCAATATGATATGTAGCAAAATTCTTGCTGGGCTTGCGATGCGTTACACTGGACCGCTTTTGACCAGCCCTGGCTCTGATAATTTTGGCTCCTCTTCGGTGGCGTGGATACTCTAGGAGCGGGGGCCGGCGCAGGCATCACCGGCGCAGCCTCAGACTGTCTTCGAATCCTATCTTCAGTGTGACCAAGCTTGTGTGTAGGCTGTAAAATGGATTGGACGTATGTAGTGAGGACTGGGAGTCCCGCCAACGCAAAATCCAGTAAACCATAATATAGACCCCCATGTCCCCATTCTACGTTCTTGTGCTTTCTACTCCATGATCCTCATGGAGGAATGAACACTTGGCGTCTGGCAGCTGGCCGAGGAGATGGAGGCGCTGGCACGGCAGGCGAATGTGATCATTCTTTGAAATTACCGCGTCCAGTGAACGTCGGCTCAGATTCGTTCAAGTAAGCTTAGAGACTTAGTTATTAAATGTGTTAGATTGGATTTGGAGGGCCCCTGCGCGCCACAGTTGGCCGGAGCCCTCTCAAGTTGCTCTCCCTCTAACTGCCCCACTGGAACTGAATACTAAAATAGATCGTCCAACTTGTGAAGGCACTCCATGATGCGTCACGAATTCACGGGACAAACACAAGGTGGGCCCAGAGGTGTTAATTGTTGGGAAGTGCAACTGCCCATAGGAGCAAGTAGCTACTAGGAACAAGAAGCTACTAGGGGCTCTTGGCATTGCTACTAGGAGCAAGGACGCTACTAGAGGCTCCTGGCCTTACTACTAGGAGCAAAAAGCTAGGATATTATTGTTCTTGAGATCCATGATTCACAACATGATGGGCCAAAGGCCAAACAATGCCAAACAAGATCGGATGGCCGCGGCTGCTCGATGCCTCAAGGTGCAACATAACGTCCGGATACATGTCACACTGGCCTCAGTAAATACCTTATGTTGATCGCCTGACACACTTCAGTCTGCCGTTCCCATAGAGGATATTGGACGTCTAAAACGCTAGGGCGTCCCAGGTCCAGAAAAGTCCAGAATCTTCCAGGTGCCAGGCTGAAGAAGCAAAGCTAGAAGCAGAACTCATGGGTTGAGGGGCCTGTCCCAAATTCTGGGTCAACATCAGGGAAGCTACCAGGCCAAACATTAAACTCGTCTAGAAGGACCGGTCTGCCAGCGATCCCATGTAACATAGATGTGACTCCCAATCGCAGGAATCAGACTTAAAGCTTAAGCAAACAGGGTGCAATGGTTGGAATCCTTCATTCCCCTTTGACATGGTCATTCCATGTCACTTTAGATTTATGGCTAGAGCGGAGATGCCTACCCTTCTGTAGTGCACAAGTACGAGTGCATAGATTAGATTCATAGGTTATCATCTGTATATGTTTCCCATGCCGATGGCTGGCCTTGGGCTTCGACTTCAACTCCCGGGAGAACTTCTTCATCCACTTGGCCACCTAACAATTATATGCGGCTTGGATTGTACAAAAGCGAGCTTAGCGAGCTTATCTCAATCGGATTTCAGGTGGGTGCTTTGCTTCAGCTTTTTCAGGTTTTGCCTAGAGCCCCAGTGTGGAAACCACAAGGATTTTGACGAGCCATCGCGTTGTTCCTAGGCGAGCGCAATGGTGGTACGACCTTATGCAACGTCGCGGAGGTGGCTTCTTATTCTAACCGGTCGTCTTCGTGGTATGCTGCCCAAAAGCAAGCTCTCCAGCATCAGCCATGGCCGGGGCAACATAGTGGCCTCAACTGACATGACCTTCCTGGAACACATCTGCAAACGGGGTCTCAATTCCTATGCAACTAACCAACCAACCAACCAACCAGGCTTTTGTAATTGCTTCATCACCAATTTATCGTTCAATCACCTGCTGGAACCCCCAAGACATCTGCATGTATGTGTTTTCAATTTGTTGCCATCGACATCTGCTTCTACACATGCATTTGTGTTTCTGTTTCTGTATTGTTATTTGCTACAGGGTGTCATGATCAAGTGTCCAACTTGAAACGCTCTAGCCGTTGCTAGTGTCATAATATTGTTTAATCCACCAATCTCCAATAACTGTGTACATCAACTCCTCAACCCATTACATGCATGATGCTACCTGTAGATTGCCAAATGCATGTTTTCCTGAACGGTCATGCGCAAATGGTTGTATGTTCAACCTATTCAATACACACTTGTAGCCTGTGTATGTGTGTTTCATCGTTCCGGGCGTTATAACAAAATATCAACAGCATTGCCAATGATGCTCATATGATAATTTCAAACCAATAGTAAAATTGAAGCAATTACGATGAAGTCTGGCAGTCTGGTTATGAAGCCCCCTGCGAATGCAATGGACCACATGGTCTATGGCCATGCTCAGTCAAAATCTGGGTTGTGCATGTGCTAAGTTCGAGCAGAATTCAACCTATGCCTATGACATCAATCAACCAAGGCGAAGTCTCCAAAGAACTAGGAACTAACGTATCTTGACAATGAGATGCTTGAACACTCCTGTCAATGTAACATACCAGTGATGTTTACCATTGTTTACCTATAATTCATCACAACTCGCTATTCTGAGTGTAGCCATGCGACGGATGGCCACCAAAGTCGAGCCGATACCCGTGCTCTGCAGCACTGGCAACGTCACTGGCACTAGGTGCAGCAAATCCAGGGTTTCTAGCACCACAGCCTCCTGTTGCCTGTCCGGGTGGACAGGGGAGGGAGATTAATCACTATAGGCGATTTGGTACCAACAGATACGATGCGATAGATAGCTACTGAATATCATTCAGAGTTTTGGTGACTCCTACAAAGAAAACGAGCTCATGCGGCCTGCTGGTCGCTTGTCCAGGTAGCAACGCTTCTTGAAGCCATTGGCGAAGAGCACCCACACCTGTCGGCATGGGCATGCTGCAAACATCAGCGCCTTCTGGCCAAGTCAATTGTAAATGGCATACGTCGCGATGCACGAATCAAGCTAACTAACGCATGTCTACAGTAAATAGCAGTACAATGTTGACATGACACAAAAGTGACAAATTCACAAGCAACAACATGAAAGTATTCAACCCTCACCTTGTATCCCGCTCTGCAGTCTTGCGCATGCGTGATCAATGACATGCTCACCCTACAACGCGCTGTTGAAGCACTGCTCAGCGCGGAGGCCTCCAGCATTCATGAATGCTGTTGTAGTTTGAGGATTCTCAAGCATAGTCTTTCGCAGGATCATGCTAAACCTGAGAGCCGGCACAAATTCTTTAGAATCTGTCCCCACTGGATTGATCAGAGTTCTAGACAACATGGCTACCGATGTCCATACATTCTTGAGGTTTTACAATACACATGGCCCATGGCGTACTTTTTGTTCGTGGTGAATGTGCACATTTGAGCCTCTGAGATAGAGGCGTACTCCCAAAAAACATGGCAGCCTATATGTGGTTTGGGTTAGTTCAGGCATCTTTGATCAAAAAATGAAAAACGTGCAGTGGCACAGTGGCAATGGGGTCATCTTACTGGTCATCTTCACAAGAGGCAGTCCAGCTCTGAAGCAAACCTGTTCCCATTTTCAATACAGTGGAGGATCTCTCACGTGCAATGAGTTAGGTGATCCATATACAATGATATATATACATACATTTTATGTTATACAGTTTGTACAAAGGATCTTCCATTTACAGTAGGTAGCACCCCGGAATTCTTCCCTTATGCCATCTATATAGATAAGACACTGCAACCTGTGGTGCAGCGGGGTCGATCGCATGGATTGAACAGTCTTGGCCATGCCAGTGACTGGAATGCAGCCTTTGTCATTCCTGGGTGGCGAATGATCGCTTCAGGCAGACAGCAAACTGGACCTGTTGGAAGGTGTGCGGAAAGCAAACGATGCGGGAAGCCAAAAACATGATACATGTGAGTGGCGGTCACAACTTTTTGTTCGACTAACAAACGGACGTTATCGGTTTTGAGTTGGACCTTATTGTTTTGCAATGTTGTGAGTTCGCCACATACTGATATGCAGTGCTGGGGTTATCGGCTTTGAGAAGACCTTGTTGGTTTACAGGGTTTTGTGCACCAACCTACCCCAGTAATTGCATGTCTTGATCGTGGCACATGTGGTTTTCTCAAGAATCACGCAACATCACAGCAAAGAGATTGATTGTCATGATTGACCTTAAAATAGTGCAACAATGTGCAATATCTCATGCGAACTCCTGCCATGCTTCAGCATGACCCCGAAGCTTTCAGGTCAGCCGAGTGACAGCAATCCATCAAATGGACCCGCTTGCAGCTCGGAATCAATCTGGTTCACGGCCTGCAGATTGTGTGTGGCGAATGGTCACATTAGAAAGTACACCGATTCGTTGTCTCCGGGACCTCTTTCTTCCGTAGTTGCAGGTGATGCGTTCAGTAATAATAATATATTATAATAACTATGTATGTCATTATCAACCGCAGCAGCAGGCTTCAAATGACACGCAAACAAATTTTGGATATTTTTGGAGGTCTTTTGTCTTGGGCAGCCCAAATTGAAACAAAACAACCAAATAACATGTCCTCCGCCAGAATTGCGATGGAACTTTGGTGGCCTGATCCATAGCGTCGTCGAAAGTAGTCCACACGTCTTGTTTTCTTCTCTCTTTCTCCTGAGATGATGCTTACACGTTGCAGAATCTTTGGTGCACCCCTCACACTCTCGGGAAATACATAGCACATCATAGCAATATGCCGCAATATATAAGATACACTGTGAACTTGTCGTGCACGGCGAACGAAGTCCGTGTCGAAAAAGAAGCACGAGGATCGACGATCCTCACGGCCGCGCCTTTTCAGCGCACATGAACCCTCCCATGCTTGAGAGGTGAGTTGCGGGTGACATGAAACAGGTTCATCTTCAAGAACCTAAGTGTACAGCGTACACTTCACACGGGGAAAAAGTTCTTTTCCTCATGTGTCTAAAAGTCGCTGCTCGTAGGCGTCAAGCCAGCGAAACACCAGCACTCTTGCGGGCTCTCCTTCTCGCGGATCGGTCAGATCCGGTGGCAGCATGCGGACGCTGCACAGATGGCATCTCTCAATCATCCGAAAGGACGATGCTTCTCGACCAACCAGAGAGGTGCACTCAGGAGTGGCATGCCATCGATGACCATGCCTTGACATCCAGATCTTCTGGTAGAAGGGGCAGTCGTTGGAGTGCTCATCCATCTGCCTGATGCACATGCGAAGGAGATCGTTGGCCTCGCTCAGCAGGTTCTCTGCTGTGCACTGGTATGCTAGCACCATGTCAGCAGCAGCTCGACTTTCAGAAGCTGAGGCCTTGAACTGCACAGCGCGGTTGCGCCATAGAGACACTTCTTCTTTTGCTTTCGCCAGCTCTTCACGAAGGCGGGAGTGAATCACCAACTCATCCTTTTGAACTGCAGCTTCTGCCACCACAGGGCGTCCAGGTTGGCGGGTCCAACGGCCAGCCAGGAATGCTGAGCTCATGACCATGAGGAAGCCGGTGAACAAAATCATTCCCACAAAGTCAACTTCTTCTTTCTTTTCGGTGGTGAGGTCGGTGCCAACAACTAGCTGGGGAACCATCACAACCAAGCAAAGGAGCTGGAGGAGGTACTTCATGAAGCCTGCACAGGGCTTAGTCAAGCGGCCAGGCACGACATGGCTGGACCTACGGTTGACATACACAATGGCGTCATCGGTGCGAGCACACATGACATTCTCAAGGACCTGTTCATTCGTTGGGTCCTGGCCTTCATCAAGCAGGTTCTCATCAACATTGTGCTCAATTTCTTCAGTCTCAAAGGGCTCGTATAGGTCCAAGTTGTCGGGCTGGATGAGGCTCTCGTCCTCAAACTGAACCTTGGGGCTTTCCTGAACACTTTCCAGTCGGCTCTGCTGAAGTTCTTCTTTCGTCTTCTTCTTCGCGGCTTTGTATGAGGGATCCCATACCAGCTTGAGTCGACCATGACGAAGTCGTTGTGCCAGGAGAAGCCGAGCAGCCTCTTTTGTCAGACCATCTGCAATCTGTCGTTCGGAGGACATCCACCGAAGGTTGCCGCCCAAAGCACTGAGGCGGTCTTTCATGACCCTGATCTCCAGAGAGACCCTTTTGTCGACCACGGAACTTGACACACCTTCCCTGTGGTAGGAGTCGAACAAAGCCTTGGCGTCCGTGACCATGACTGGGGCCAACAGCGACGGGGCATTCAAGACGTGCTGCAAGCTCTGCCGAGGGTCCATGAGCAAACTCCAGTAGATGCTGGCATGTTCGAGGGCGTCACATGCCTGTCCTCCACTTTGAGCTTCCGCGCCAAGCGATGACCGAGCAATCCTCGGTGTCTTCATGCTGCGCCAGTCGAGGATGTGGTAGGCGCCTTCAGGGCCATTCGCTTCAAGCAGGCTTTTGTGAAGCAACATGATCACATAGCCAGCTTGCGATGAACCATCACTCCTGGTGGCGAATGCAGCATCAAAAAAACACACCATGCGAAGCTCCTCAACAGGGCCCAAATGGGCATAGTGCAAACCAACATCAGCATGCTCCTTAGCGAAACGCAGCAGACGATTGGTATCGGCTACAGTTTGCAAACATGCTTTGTTGACATAGCCACTCAAAATGGATGTACTGCTCTGTAGGTGTGGGCTAGATTGCACTGCAGGCCATTGCAAGGAACCTAGCAAACCACGCAGCTGTGTGGTTTCCTTTTGGTTCAAAGACTCTGTGAGGTTGCGCTTCCGGTCGTAGGAGATTGGCTTCACTTTGCCAAGATAGCTCTTTTGGTTGAGCATGAAGCTTCCATCCTCATTGAGGAAAATGTCGCAGCCACAGTAGGTCAGGGGCTTTCCATCATCACCTGTCTTCCATTCACGGAAGGTGAATGAGCTTTTGAGCTTGGCCAGGGTGTCATTGTAGCACTGCGAGGTGGTGGAGCCACAACCAAGCATGTCGTCCACGTGCATGATCACCATGCCACAAAGACCATGCGGGCCCAACAAGTGCGGCGCCGGTGCAGCAGGGTCAAACTCAGGGTTGAGCTCGCCTTCATACATGAGGAAGCAGCAGGGATCTTGTGGATGTTGTTTCAACCCCATGCCCTTCAGCTTGTCCACGGCGGCCAGGTACCAAGCTCTTGGGGCATCTATCTGACCATAGCATGGCTTCAGGAGAAGCATCCGTGTGTCGGGGGATGCTCCAAGCAGTTCCAGGCATTCGTTTGGGAGTTGTACCCATAGTTTCCTGCTTTGCGGTTTGCCTTGCAAGAAAGCCGTGGCAATGTCTGAGGTCCAAATTGGCCAGTTCATCGTGGAAGCCAGGCTGAGCAACATAGATCTCGACAGCCGGGTCGTCGTTGGAGAGGATGTAGGAACGGTGCCCTCCCAGGCATCGGGATCTTGAAATCCTCTGACGATCAAACGGGCCTTCGCCCTTGGACTTCCATCGGGATTCTTTGACCATTTGAGCAGCATGCGACTTGTCAAAGTCCGGCTGGGCTCTGCTTCATGGGTGGTCTCGAACTGCCACACTTGGTTGTCGAAGAAGCTTTGCAATTCCTTGACCTTGGCGGCCTTGAACTGGGCACGTTCATCTGGCGTCATGTGACGCTCTGTGAGGTTGTTCTTGTTCTTGTCCTTCTTGAAGGTTTTGGCATGCTGCATCTTGGCAGTCTTGCCCATCTGACGTGCTCCTTGTAGTGGGGCTTTGGCATACATGGCCAGTTCACGTCGGATGTCGCCCTTGATCTGGAAGATGCTGAGTCCTGTCCAGGTGCGGTCCATAGGATGTGAATCAGTGCCGTCATCGGTGATCTGTTGGCTCTTGCCGTTGTTGTCATACATCACGGTGACTCGGACTTGATCAAGCTGGGTGTGGTGGTAGGGACTGTCCTTGGGCAGATCGTGCAAACACAGTTTGTGTCTCCTTGGCACGAGATGATGTCGAATGAGACAGCCAGCTTTCACTTCCCAGTAATCTTGAGGCCGTTTATCCAGGTGGAAGTAGCCATCGTGGAAGGACCAGCCTTGAGGTAGTCCGTGGGCTTGCAAATCAGTGACCTGGAAGGCATGATTCAGCAATGCATGCTCAGGGGCTCGATCGGCCGTTGAGAGGTCGGGATCGGCACTGGCTGCAGGGGGCGGCTCTTCCGTGCTGACTGTTTCTGCCGATGGTGTAGGCAGTTCATATGGTTGTGCAGGTGGTGGCCGTAGGCTTCGGAGTGGTCCAAAGCTGAGCGTCTCTTGTCGGTTGAATCTGGCACGACGCTGGCTGAATGTCTCTGCATCAACCGTCTCATACAAGGAGGCAGTGGTGGGGTCCAAGACAGGTCTTGGATTTGGAGCCGGGGGCGGTGGTGCCTCTGCTGGTGGATGTGGTGTCTCACGTCCGGAGGGAATCATCGGCTCTTCACTGGGTTCAGCCACTGTTGGGGCTCTGGATCTGGACCTGGAGGTCACTGGTGATGTAGGCATCTCCAAAGGAGGTGGAGGTTGCGCTGCCGGTGGTCCTGCCATGGTTGATGGAGGTGCTCTTGGGCTTGTTGGTGCAAAGCTCGAGTGTGCCGGTGAAGTCGGCTCGTACTCGTTGGCATCCAGTTCTGCCACAGGATCCGAGGTTGTTGGAGCCTCGGGAACTTCCAGGCGAAGTCGATGACGAGGTGGTTCTTCGGCTTCGTCATGCAGTGGTCCGTCAGGATCATCATACTGCTCATCTTCTTCGACATCTTCAAGTTGTTGTCGGTTGACACGCCGGAGGTCGTAGTATCGAGTGACACCACGAGACTTGAGTTGACGCACCATGTTGAGCGATGCTTGCAAGTCGTCCAGCACGTGCTGTGGTCCAAGGATGTCGCCACGGACATGGTGAGGTGCAGCTCGGATGAGTTGGCTCTTGTAGGCTAGCCAGTAGGTGTTGACCTTGGTGGCTTCAGTAGGTGCATCGGGGTCTTCTTCACGTAGTACCACACGAGCGGGTCCCAGCCAACGAATCTTGTTGAGCGCGCTCTGTCGGGCGTCTCTCCAGAACCAAACACGTTCACCAAGCCGGAAGATGCGGCTTTGACCTTGGTATTTCCTGCTCAAGGCTCTCCGAAGTTTGGAGTCAGCATCGGCACTTGTGAGTGCCATACGTGCAGAGGTGCGACGTTCCAAGTTCTGCTCGAACGTGATGTTGTTTCCGGCCAGCTGTGCAGCGTTGAGGTTGGAGTCCAGAAGGTGGCTCAACTCAGGTTGATAACCCAACACCCATTGGCTCGGAGTGAATCCAGCAACGGAAGGAGTGGCATTCTGTTGCGGAATGACATAGGTCAGGGCTTCTTTCACTCCATGGGCGTCAGTCAGCTTGCGGTCTGAGAGATAGACCTCGCAAGCACGTCGAAGAACAGCGTGACGCCGCTCAACCAGGGCGGTCGTTCTGCATGCCAAAGTCTGCACGCGGGACCAAACTTTGCATTCAGGTGCGAGAAGGACTTCATCAGGCTCCTCCTCGTCCAATCGCTGTAGGAACTGTTGCTGGTGGCTCTTGAGGTTGAAGTCCCAACCAGTTTCCAGGGAGAAGCGCTCGACCTTCATGCCAAGTTCTTCAGCGACCTGGCCCGTGCGGGCCTTGCCACAGTACACTTCCCACAACACCCTTCTGTGTTCAGGAGGCTGGTGAAGCTCATTGGTGATGTAGGCTTCAGTGGAGTTCATCATGGTGGTCAGCTGTACCTCCATGGTGCGAAGGGCATGTCGATGAAGTCGGGCTGAGGTGAAGTTGTTGTCCGAAGGCACTTGCTCATCGGCAGCGAAGACTTGTTCCAGGTTGTTAAAGTCTTCCAGATGCAGGTGGCTGCCAGGAACTTCTTCTGCGATGTGCAGAGTGAACAAGCTCTTCGTAGGATCCGGCACATGCTCCATTCCAGCTGTTAGGCTGAGTAGGTATTCACCATGCTTGCCGACCAAGACCGGTTGCCAAGGAGAGCGGCCGAATCGGATTTGCTTCTGGCTGAAGTCAATGCCCATGTGGAGCGCCTCAATGACAGGTCGTCCCATCAACATTGGAGTGTTTCCGGGCACCAAATAGCATTGGATCGTGCCATAGTTGCCATCCAACATCACCGGAAGATCCACGGTCCAGCGAGCTTGAGCTGAAGCGTCTCCGCCAAAGTGGAACTGTCGTTCGCGTCGAGCGAACCGGATCGTGTTGACCGGGTAGTTCATGGAGTTGAGGTGGTCAACATATCGCTTGAAAGGACCGTATCCGCTGAGAAAGGCTGAGGCACCAGGGTCCAGCATCGTGGCATCAGGACGTTCATCACCGAACTCGTCCTGGAAGAGCACGAGGGCATGCTCGGTCTGGACGGCCATTCCTTCTGTTGGACCAGGAGCAGGACGTTTGGTAGCCGTCGAACTTGATCGAGCCGACTGCGGGCATTGTGCAGCCCAGTGACCGGGTTGGCCACATCTGAGGCAGGTCGTTGCTTGTGCTCGGCCACGAGGATCGGCTGCCTTGCCACCAGTGTTGGGTGGATAGCGGATGACATTCTTGCCCTTGCCCTTGTTCTTGCTCTTGGACTTCCCTTTTGAGGGACTGCGATCCTTGCCTTTGTTCGAGGGGCTGGACGCCATAGGAGAGGATTGACCATCAGTGAGGGCGACCACTGGAAGGTATCCGCGAGCCAGTTTGAGCTGCTGGAATCGTTGCCTTGCATCAAGGTAGGTCGCATAGGCATGATCGTACTGTTCGGCAAGCTCATAGGGATCCTCAGTCGATTCGCCATGGTCTTCTGTTGGCTCTTCCTCACCATAGTAGATGGCGTCATAGTCAAAGGATTCGTCCTCGTCAGGGTTGTAGTCGTCTGGTCCCCATTCATCGGCCTCATAGTAGACACTCTCATCGGGCCAGGCAGTGTCTGTTGGCCAGGCATAGTCATCATCCTCATAGGCTGCATAGCCTCTACCTTTCCAGCGGGCGAACTTCCGATCTCTGTCGCTGTTCCAACCACCCGCTTTATAGTCTTGACCGAAGAGGAGGTAGAGCGCATCGATGACGGCCTGCTTTTCCAGCGTTGGAGCTTTCAAAGTCACCATTTGGCGTTGCTCCTTGGTCAGGGCGGCACGCCGGAGAAGATGCCATCCTTGGACTTGGCCGGGTAGTGAAACATTGTGTGCCATCAGCTTCCGATAGGAGGTGTCAAACTCCGTGACGTAGGTCAGGAGACTCTGCTGAGGCTTCCTCTGAATGAGGTTGAAGAACTCCTCAAAGTCGTTGGGGAGAAGGACGCGGTCGTCATATTCAAAGTTCTTGTCCAGCTTTTCGAGTATTTTGCTGAAGGCGTCACTCTTCTCCACATCCTCAACGGGATAATCCTCGAAGAGTTTCCAGGTCACGCCGCTGAAGCTTCCGAGGATGTTCAGCACAGACTCACCAGCTCGTTTGCTGATGACCATCTTCTTGTGGTAGAGGTTGAGGCGTTTCCTGTACTCTTTGTACTCTGAGGGCTGGTTCGAGAACAAGGGGACGTAGGAGTCGCGCAGGTTCTGTGTCTCTACTTCTTTCGTCCCGGCGGACGCTGCTGCCATTGTCACTTCCGTAGGTCTTCAGCAGGAGGTGGAGCCTAAGCCGAAAGGTCTCTTCCACGAGGCGCCAGAAGAGCTCGGCAGAGTGAAGGTGACAAAGGTCTTAAGCAGGGCCTCGTTCAAGTAGACACAAAGTTCGCGGGAGCCCCGGAATGGGGCTCCGCTACCAATGTGAACTTGTCGTGCACGGCGAACGAAGTCCGTGTCGAAAAAGAAGCACGAGGATCGACGATCCTCACGGCCGCGCCTTTTCAGCGCACATGAACCCTCCCATGCTTGAGAGGTGAGTTGCGGGTGACATGAAACAGGTTCATCTTCAAGAACCTAAGTGTACAGCGTACACTTCACATACACATTTAAACTAATCAGGTGAACTCTGTGTTCAATTCCTCCGGTGAACTCACCTGACCGTGACTGACAACCGAACAGCTCTCCTACGCCTACGCTGATATACTTCTTGGCCGACTGTCCAAGCATCTGCTTTCGACATGTTTTGCAAGAGGCGGCGGCTTCTTACTTCACCCTGTTGCCTCAGGCTTACATCAACCCTAGCAGTAGCAGCGCATGCATGTTGAAAACAAATAAAAACTCCTGTGCAAAATGACTTCATTGCGAGCGGTTCATTCACACACACACACACCAGAAAGGAACATATGTTTTTCTCAGCGGGTCCCTTCCCTTGGAGAAATGATCAGATTATGTACCAAACCCCAGTTGGAACTCTTCTCTTGTTCATGTTTAGTTTGTGGGCCCCAATCTGTCCTGCCCTTGGAGAAATGATCAGGTTGTCTACCAAAACGCAGTTGGAACGCTTCTCTTGTTCATGTTTAGTCTGTGGGCCCCAATCTGTGCAATCTCTGATCTCAGCGACTTCAAATCTGGCTCCTCCGGAGCAACTTTCCTTTGAGAGGCATCGTCAGTCCTGAGACGCAATCACTGGAGCTGAGCTTAAATTACAAGTCCTATTGTTCCACTAAGTATTATGATGTTATTGTTGTTCTTGCCGCTTCTGTTTGACTCTTTATGTGGTACAAAATTGATCTCCAACTGGCAAAATCATCACCCATTGGCATGGCAGTTCGGTGGGTGTAGCAATTTAGGTTCGAAAACTTGATCGGCTCACGTGTCACCTTACTCTCATCTCTCACACCAAACTACCACCAAAGTAGGTCTGTGGGCACACTGATTTCTTGGGCAGGTGCTCACGAAAAATGAGCACTGCAGGCACTGCAGGCTGCAGGTATTTGTTGTTTCCGAGTGATTGCCTCCAGGTGCTTGTTGGGCTTTCACTGCTTGATCATTACTATAATATTATGTGTATACATTTGTGTATATACATATACACAGTATATGTATCTATATGGTGGTTGATCAATATTCTTTCATCCTGGAATGGCCATTCATCGCGGAAAAAAAGATATCTTTCGCGGCCTCATCGCGAAGCATGACCCCAGTAGATGGTGGAACGTTTCCACAGCTACTCAGGGTCACTTGCAGCATCTGTGCGACAATTGTGCCAAATAGAATCAGGCACAACTCAACCCAATCCTCGTGTCAGCTACCAACACAGGGTGGTGCAGCTTGGGGGGTGTTGGGGGGCCCCAAGCTGGGAACCTGGACTTTAGCGGCACATTCGCGAAACTTTCGCGGATCTTTCGCGAAATTTCACTCGTGCTTTCCTCGGGAAGCCGTAAAAATTTGCAAACATCTGCACAGCCCGTCAGAGCAGCTGCAGGTCGTTGCCTCACTGTCAGGGCTGTGCCTACCCAGATTGCTAGTCTGTGACAGTGGGGACAGGAATCGGAGAATCCTTTACGCACTGCCAGGGCTGGGCACGGAAATGTTGAGGCTTCAGTTTGTTAGTCTGTGACATATGGGGACACTTCCGCCCACTGGCTCTGCCGGAGGATCGCCTTGCGTTTCTATTCTTTGTCAGTTCGGTAGAAAGGAACACAATGAAAGCGATGACCTTCGATAAATCTTTCGCGTAAAGAAAAGATACTTTCGCGAACCTCATCGCGAATCTTTCGCGGATGGTTCTAACACCATCTGAAAGGCTGTTTTATATAAAACTCCTTACATGGGGTTTTCGATCAACTCCCATATGTAACTACTCTTTCTCATCTGAACACGTGTGAGTGAGGGGCTTCTTTCGTCTTCCTCGCCGTTCTGCTTTCTTTTCAGCTGTCCTCCAAGCAATTCACCCAGCTGTGTTGCCCGATTGGTAAATGCTCTACAACATTCTACAACCCACGCAACGGCAACGGCGCAACGGTGGAATGGCTTCCTATTTTCTAGATCACTTCAGGTCCACCGTATTCTCTCTACTTGCAAACAGCTTGTGGCATCCTCAATTTTGCCGACATTCCTCGAGGCAAATGGGTCATCCCAAGAGACGATCTCCGAACAACAGGGAAAATAGCAATAGCATTCTAGTAGCTTCTTGATGCTTCTTGTTACTAGTAGTAAGGCCAGGAGCCCCTAGTTGCGTCCTTGCTCCTAGTAGCGATGCCCTTTGCTACTAGGAGCATTCTTGGTCTGCATAGGTCTGCAGGTCTGGTGTCAGAATGGGATTCAGCCCATGCATCCAAGTCGGTCCTGAATTGATCCAAATCGGCCAGCTTTTGTGGAGGTAACCTTGCCGAGCTTGGGCTCGGCACGTCGCTTGACAGCTGCAGTGCAGCCATCGGATCCAAACATATACACCACATAGCATCAACCTATGGCCAATGGCCAATTCGTCTGCCGGCATACACTTGTTATGAAGTACCTCAAATACAAACACCCCATTGACAGCTTCTTGGGTTGGAGATGAAACTTGCACCCGTGAACGTGAAACCCACTCCATAGATGGCCAAGTGAGGCTCAACTTGGAACAATCTGCATGCTATGCCCCCTTTTGTTGAGCTCCGTTCCACTGGCACTTGGTTTCGAACCAGGCACTTTCAAACCAAGAGTCGTAGAATCTTCAACTCGTCCGCTCTTTGTCGAGACCCTAGCAGGCGAACTGAGTCAGGTCTCAAAGTCACGTGCTTCAGACTTTTGACGTTAACTTCCAAAAGGAGATGTGAACATCACCGAACTCAACAGTGGGACAGTCTCAGTCTCATGTCGCATACAAAGCATCTCGCTGTAGGCACTTACTGGACTGCTGTTCTTTACTGCTTACTGAGTAAGCTGGGGCAGCATCAGAGTGGCATGAGTGCCTCCTTCTGACCCTTGGCGGTGGTGGCGCTTCCTGCTTAGTGTGCTGAAGAGGTACATCTTTTGCATCTTTTGGTATCCTGAACGAAAGCGCCAGGAACAAAAGGACGCTACTAGGAGCAAAGGGCATCGCTACTAGTATCAAAGGGCACTACTACTAGTAGCATTCTTACTACAGTACTAGGAACAAGAAAACCAAGGTCGTGTCAAGCTAGAATTGTCAAGGCACCACGAGCCACCACAAGCCGCTGTGAAAAACTACATTTGCACCGAGGCTCTTTGCTTTGGACTCAAGCCCCTTCTCATCCTTAGCCACCTTAGCCTTCTCGGACTCAGCTGCCTTTGCCTTTGTCAGCTTTCTGCGCTTTCCTCGGCGCTGTGGGGTGTGTAAGAGCCATGCAATTCTTTTTGACACGTTCTTCGGTGCACCTCTAGGGTCATCACTCTTCTTGGCGGTTTCCACTTCAGGCGCAGGGCGCTTCCGTCCTCCTGAGGTTCCCTTCACCACGGCTGCCTGGAACTGTCTCAACCTGGCATGCCACGCGTCACCAAGGAAGATTGGAGAGACGGGCTCAAGTTCCACAAGTCAAATTGGCAAGCTGGCCTATGCTCAGGAATTGGCCCATCTGCCAAGCCATAAATCAATCCCTGCTTCGACACTGCAAGCCTCAGAAAGCCCGGGTGACGATCACTGTTGGTCCTTGACGTTGCATTATTTGTAAACATGTCTCTCTTGCAGCTCGGCCGCTATAAGGGTTCATTGTTAAGATTGTTAAAGGAGTTACTTTATAAGACGTACATTGTGGAGACGAGATGCATTCTGGAGCATACTTAAAGTCTTAAACTGTTAAGACCTCGCAAGTTTCAGTCTCACTCCACAGAGCACAAGCCAGTAACAACAGTTTCCGTAGAAATTCGGGTAACTAGCAAGTAGCCCTTGTGCAAAACCTTGCGCCGGCCTTGCGCGAACCTTGCGCGATGCAGGATTTAGACTACCTACTATCAATGAAAACAATTGTGCTACTATATTCTGCTATGTGGTTTTTTGGAGGACTCTCATATATCCCGAGTCCCGGGATACTATAGGTCGCTATATAGATTAGGCTAAAAGAATCTAAACATGCATTGACCAAAGCTAAGGTACAAACATGGACACTGTATGTTCAAACCAACGCATGATAAGGCCTTTCAATGTTTCAAATCTTTTATTTGCACTCGTCCCCACCTCTGATGCCTCCAGCATAGCTTGTTGTCCTTGGGGCGGTCTGCATCACATTGACCTCCAAAGCCATCATTCCAAATTCGCGCCAAGCACTTTGTGGAATCCTGGTGGTGCGGGTGCTATTAGATCATGCCAAGCCCACACAACCACGACCACACAAATATTTACACACATTGACATAAATATGTTTATAACATATTTTACACAGTATATCATCGCTGGTCCTTCTCCTTCTGTCAATCCAGCATGCTTGAATTGCAACCGACTAAACATGCTACGAACAGCGTCTAAGTAGAGCTGTTCACGATGCTAACAGGAAGTCTGACTCAACACATGTTGGCCAATGCGAATTCAACGCGTGCCAAGGGTCGATTGACTTGGGTGTGAAGTCACGCCATGGTTCCTGTCCGAGCACCTGCCATTTTGCCCCCGCTGCAAGCGGTTCGCTCAGTTCGGGTGTCAAATCAGATTAGACCTCTTAGTAGGTGACATCGACATCGTAATCAGCTAACTGCATTGCCTTACCTACCTTCAACAATCACCCATGACAAATAAAATGGGACGCGGTGTGAACCACCAGCCATCTCTGACACCAAAGCGCGGCCTGCTCCTCCACGGGGGCGCCCCCTTCCGCCTCACCCGGAGAAAGAATGATGACAAATAGGTACCAACCGAAACTGCATGATGGAGTGGTTTTATCATTTGTGGGAAGCAAGGTGCAGTAGGAATTCGTCGTTTTTCACTGCATCAATGTCGCTCCGGTCTTTGTTGACTACTCGACCGGAGGTTCTTGTTGAGGGCCCACCTCCACAATCCCAAGATCCCAAGAGCAAGCTGGGCAACTGCAAATCCCAACTTAACTTAGATCCCAATAATCAAGCCCGATGCAGTGCAAATGACATAAACACACACAAACCAACACTTTGGAATACTTTGGACCTTGCATGAGCCCGAAGCTTTGATGTGTAAGCAAGCTCCTGGACAGGACACCTCTGAACACCATGGGTTAACTGTGAGTGTCTCAGCCGGCCTCCACAGCAGAGCTTGGCTCCGCCGAGCTGGGCTCAGCAGAGCTTGGCTCCGCCGCGCTGGGCCGTTTCGCTGCCGCAGCCTTCCAGACTTGGTGCTGAAGGCGGGCCAAAAGGAAGGCCATGCCTTGATCAGGGCAGGATCCTTGACCTGGTGGGATCTAACTGGGAACAAAAAAGAACAACCATTATCAACAAACATTGCTGGTGCGGATTCGTGGTGGCAAGCCTGAGCCCGTTGGTGTGCAGGGATTGGCAGGGTGAAGTTGAGAAAAGGTAGAGAAAGGGCGAACTGCTGTCAGCCAAGTCGGAACACAATGTCAATGTGTGGCACCCATCTGCCAACATGCAAAATGCGCAGAAACTAAGAACAAGAAGCTACTAGTAGCAAAGGGCATCGCTACTAGGAGCATGGACGCTACTAGTAGCTCCTGGCCTTACTACTAGGAACAAATGGACGCTACTAGTTACCATGTTAATCACGAGCGGTGTCCCATATTGCAGTTGCCATGCGCCCTAAGCCCGAGAAAGGCGACTTGGGATATCTGAGACAAACAGTTTGCTGTTGCATATGTACCTGTACGAGTATATGCATCTTTCTCCTATATATAATTGATATTTATATACAGTATATACACAGTATACAGTATATGTGTGTGTATATGTACCAGTTACTATAGTTACTATGATACACCATGATATACAATGTCACTCCATAATTCTCACAGGATCGAACGGTCTGCACCATGCCAGTCTTGGCTTGCGGTGACGCATGACCCAGCAGGCATTACCAATTCAAAACCTCAACCTGGCTAAACTCAGGCAAAGGAGCGCCAGCTGCCCCAAGAATTGGCGCCAAACCAGCGGCTCTCTGTCTTGTTCTTGCCTCAAAAAAACATATGTCACTGAGCTAGACTCTAGACCCTCAACAACGCTTCCCCCACATAGAACGCACCAAGCTACAAAACGTGACATGGTGGTCATACATATACATTACATATGTAGGATTCATGGAACATGGATGGGTATAGAATCATGACCTGTAGCCTGTGCGCCACATCCAACCTTTCGGGTCAAGTGCCCTTGCCTTGCACTGCTTTGCGCACCGTCCTCCAACCAGCGCCCTTGTCGTCACTCCAGTTCGTCAAACCCTCGAGAGAAATTGCTGCAGAACCTCCTGGCGCATTGAGAACCGCCCTTGTCAAGCGTCGCCGGCGACAAACAGTGAACATGTTCCAATGAGGTTAGTTTATGTGAGTTCTCCGCTGACCACGGACCACAAAATATCCGAGCTCCAACTTGGAGAGACCTCAATGAAACACAAGGTGAAGGAATCATTCTCTGAGTGCAAGTGAGTGCACCATCTCCTGGCAGCTCCTCTTTTCGAAGGCCAGGATTCTTTGGGTCCGGGTGCTTGTTCTCTGATGGTTCCCCTTGAAACCACTTCCTCAAGTCCTGAGTGGAGTTCCAAGTGATTCCAGGCCAACACAATCACCTCCACTGAAGTCAGCAACCAGCATCAACCACTATACTGTAGAGACCACGTGAATCCAAGTGATGCCTCATGATGCCTCTTGTGGAACTTTGCTTCCCTCCAACAACAACCCACCTTGGATAACCTCGTCGAACCTCCTCCTGCTTGGCCCACTGTTTGCGAGCTGTCGAATTTGCCCGCCAAGGTTCAGTATATGCACTGAGCCTCAACCTTGACATGTCATCACAAAGAGCTCCTGCTGGTGCTTTCACGTCGAGCACGGCACCAAGGATGAAGAAACATGAATACAACTTTAGGACTCTAATAGAACCTTTTCCTAGAATTGATGGAGTGCTGAAGTTGAAGAAGTGCGGGGGGACCACCACACTCTAATCTCCATCAAGTGTTTGGGCTTTCGCTCCTTCGACTGTGAGCTTCTCCATGACCGGATCAGCTGGCCATTCGTAGTTGCCTGAGGGAAAGCAGGACGGCACAGCAATAAACGACGCACAAAATTGCAGCCTCGTGTGTCATGGAGCAGCCCGGCTCAACAAATCCTTTACAAATCCGAGGCGTTCAGGCATTTTGTTACTAGCAACAGGCCGAGACCTACACAAACGTCATTTCCCAATTTCTCGAAGCCGACTCAAAGCCATGATCCGTCCCTCTTTTGCCTGGCAAGCTAGGCTTCTTCTCCCGCTCCTCGCTTGCAGCTGCAAGAGGACAAGCACATGCACTTGGAGTAACCGCAGTGAGACTGAGGCCTGACCTGAACTTTGCAAACATCCGTGTCCTGCTCGGTTTCTTTCTTCGAGCTCTTGGCGTTCTTCTTGTCCTTCACTGTCTTATCCTTATCCTCATCCACTTTCCTTTCCTTCTTGTCCTTTTTTACATTGTGCTTCTCTGGCTTGTTCTTTTCCTTCGAGGCCGACTCAGGCACCTCTGCTTCAGCCTCAGGAAGGTCAATTAAGAGTAGAGCGAAAAACCGGCGCCGTGATATATCCACTTGGGACAATTTGGATGCTGCATGATAGTGCACAACTTGGCAGGGTCATCAGCTGAGACACTATCATCGAGAGCAAGCTGTCAACACATTCATCTTGAGCTGCTTCTTGAAGAGCAGCTGGGGCCTGAGCAAAAGACATAACATTAAATACCAAACAAACTCCAACAAGCTGCACTGGCTACACCATCACCACCTCCCGAGCGCAAATTCAAGGAGCTCACCTGTGCGTCTTTTCTCGGCCGGCCTCGCCCCCGCTTGCCAGGATCTCAGCAGGTGCCGTAGAATGGTGTGAAAGGAGGGGCTCTGACAAGTCTCAATGGCTACAGTGGATAAACCTCTTTAAAAATTACCATGCCAATGTCATTTACAAGTGGGAATGTTGATTGCTTTTGCACTGTGCACATGTCCCACTTCTATGTCTGAGAGCTGGACTATCTGCAGCTGAGCTGGAGCTGGCAGGGATCAGGAGTCAGGAGAGTATGGTGCGGAAGGACATCAACAGGTTGCATGGCATCTCGGCCTCTCATGTGGTTCTAGACTTCAGTCAAATCCAAAGTTGATATACTGGGCGCAGACGACTTGGGCTTTAGGCCCTGAAATTATCATAGGTGCTGTGGTTTTCCTTTCATAAGGCCTATGTCATGGTGCCCTGTTTGCTCCAGACATGCCCCAACTGGTCTGATGAGACAGGACTTGTGGAAGGCACCAGTCCGCATAGGCTCCGCTAAGCTTTCGTTCTCATGATTTTTCTATGCAACGGCTCACGACCTCGGTCTTGTGTTTTTTTGCCTCTTCAGCTTTTGCATGATGACTTAGGACTTCAGATTTGAAGGCACACTAACTCCTATGTCCTTAGCGGCCAGTATATGCCAGTATATGAATGGATAAGTTGCCAAATCACAAATTTAGTTTGTAGGACTTTTGAGGTCATGTTCCATATGTTTCCATGTAGTAGCACCGGCCCTGCCTGGCCATTCCGTGACACTTTTATCAAGCTGAAGGTGGGCTACAATGGCATAATTGATTTGCAATGGAGTACTTAGGGTGCAGGTGTTGTCGGTGCTGTCACGCTCAATGGAAAACTAGGGATGCCTTTGTCTTTGTCGTAGGTCAAGGGCATTTGTTGGAACATGCTACACTTTCCACCTGATTCCCAACTGACGCAACTCTGTTGTGCCGTGTCGTCAAACCTCGAAGGGAGTGTTTTTAAATGAATTTGAGCCCAAGGCCGAGAACATTGAATGCTGCCAACACCCCATGCTGTCCGTCCGAGAAAGAGCAACAAGTTCGGGCGTAGTGCGATCGTGGCTTCAAAGCGAAAGCGGGGCATCGAGCATGTCAACCGGCAACCAGGCACTGGATCGGTGAGCATTCCACTCCAAAGGAGACTGGGGACATTCTATATTGAACCAGAAACCCCAGGCAGCCCTTGATATGTCTACTTCAAGGCCATCTGTGTCCTCCTGCAACTTTGTCAGCTGCTCTTGAAGTTCTTCTCCTGCTTGTACCTGCTGTGCTTTATGAGCAGCAAACTGCAAACGGCATCCGGGATTTTCTTCGTGACAACCAGCATCCGCACTGATCGCTTCGGAAATTTGATGAGTTGCTCCAGCTCCAAGCCTTCTTCCTTGCCTCATCCTCGGCCTTGCCAAGCTGTGTCCTGTGCCGGTGAACTCATCCTTCGAACGATCCAACTGTGACACCTATTGAACGTATTGAACCTATTGGCTATTGGCTCATCATCCAGAACGACAGGGTGACATGAATGTCACACATGTCAAAAAGATTGATCGTACCATATGGTACCGTACCTGTAGGCATTGGCATTGATGTCATCTGAATAATCATGGCAATTCAAAGTGGAACAAAGTTGTGTGCACCATTGTGCACCTATTTAAGAACTCGCATCGATCAAGTACTGTAGAGGAATTAAATATTCTTAAGCCGCCAGATGTGTCTCAGCACTCCCCCGAAGCTGTGTCCTCAGCGCATCTTCACGAGACTGGCTGGCCTCCAACTCCTCTCCGTGAGAAACGCAACCAGGCCGCAGCTGAGCTGCTACTAGTAGCTCCTGGCCTTACTACTAGTAACAAGAAGCTTACTAGTATGCCCCACATCCCACTCCCTTCCAGGTGGCGATCCACACATCCACCGGCCTACGGTTTCGGGTTTTCTCGATGCACACCTTTCCCTCCCTCTCTCTATCTATCTATCCATCCCTCTCAAGCGAGCACACCTGAAATGAGCAATTGAATAACATTGACAAATTCTAAGTAGTCCAGGTCTCTGACCCTAGTTGCCCTAGTTACCAAGTTGGAATTCAATTGAAAGGCGCACTGATTTCTTTTTCGTGTCCAAAGAATGTGTCAGTCCAAGGTGGAGCGGCTTCGGCGCTCATGCGCTGCAGTAGCGTGTTCGGTACAAGCAGAAAACGTTCGGCCCGCGCTTCGCCTGGTTCAAATTTTTAGGCTTCACCATGCTTCACCTCCCCCTTGGGGATAGAGGTACTTCTTCTCTCCCTCTTTTGAGGGATAAGGGCAATCCAAAGGCGCACCATCCTCCCCCAAGTGCAAAAGGCATCCTCCGTCTGCCTTCTGAAAGCGGAATTCTTTGCTCCCTGCTTTGGTCTCTCTCTTGAACTCGGCAACCTTGCCAGTATCCGACATCACCTCAACCTCTGTGCCTTGGAACATGAGGGTGATCTCCCCACTGAGGGTGAACTTCCCTGTCCATACCTCAGTGATTTCTGGAGCTTCTTCGCTGGTGGACACCTGCTCCTTCACAGTTCCACTGCCATCGGAGTTCACATCCACCTTGATCAGGTAGAAACCCCATCCTCCATCAGTGGCTTGCATCATGTAGGAGCTCGCCTTCGGTGCGGGCCCTTCGCCTTCGGATGCTCCTCCTGCCTTCACGATCTTCAAAGCTGCCATGACATTCTGACGTTCCTCCTCAGAAACCGATCCAAGGAACTCTTTGATCTGCTCTTCGGTGACGCCCTGAAGGTCAAGTGATGTCCCCGCACTGGGCAAACTTGGCGTCATCCCTGGGAGTGGCGGCATAACTCACGTAGACGGGATGAAGCTGCTTGCGTCACTTGCCACAGCTGTGCCGATATGGCTACTGCGTGTTATGGCAGCTATGGCTCAAACAGTTAACAGACCATCACATACCAAACGGCCGACCGAAATCAATCCCCCTGGCGCGTCCTGGCGGATTGCATTCAGCTGCTCCCTGTGGGCACGTCTCGACTGCCACTCATGTCTGCAAGCTTTTGAATTCTTGAAGCTTAATATAGTTGAGACCTGTGCCAAAAGGTCATTGGAAGGTGTGCACTGAAACATGCCGAAGCACTTCTCAGAAAAGCCCTTGACAGTCAGGCTTTAAAAAACTAGGACGTTCACCCAAAATATCAGAAGCAGCAGTGCCGAGCCGCCGAGCCAAAAGACGTTTTCCATGAAGCCATGGTGCCACCGTTCTCAATCAACATACAATCTCTGTGGAAAGAGACAAACTGCACCTCAAGTCCGCATCAGCACGTTGAAGTTTTACCAGCTCTTCGCGATGTTGATCCTTCAAAAGCGCCACCGAGGTTTCACCAATCACAATTATTCAATTTGACAATATCGGCGATCACGATGTAAAACGTTACTGTAACCGCTCCACTGAGAGGCACCAACATGAAACTAGCGGATCACACTTCGAGGATGTTGAAGGGAAAATGAAGCAGTATATATATATTATACACGTCAATAACGTCAACAAGTGACTTAGTAACTTTCAGTAATTATAACTGTAATTATCGTATATTATTGTAATTTGTGCGTTCTTGCCTTGAAACGATGAAAACCACTGGAACTCTTTACAAATGATGAATCTCCTGGGCTACATCGTGCTGGGAAAGCGCCTCAGGCGAGAGGACTACAGTACCAAATTCCATGTCTCCCGAAACCTTGATGCTTCCGATCACACATGCCTTCCTGAAATTGTGATTACTTTCTTTGCTTCCAGCTTCAACCTTCAGGTTCTTCATAATTTGCTTAGTCTCAGACATGTTGCATAAACTTGCCAGCGGCGGTACATACACGAACACGACAAGGCATCATCAATCTATCCAAATCCAAATTTGGGCCAAAGCAATGTTCCACCAACAAAGCGCCATCAAACCAGGCTCGGATCCTCTAAAAAACAAAGCGATGGACGAGTGCCACACCACAGAGGCCCGCTTCTGAGCCGCCTCTGATGCTTCCACTTGAGACCTCCCGCGGCCACGTTAGGCAACGGCCAACGGTCGACGACCTGCTGGAAGTCAGCTAACATCAAACTGAAAGATCTGAAAGCCTGATGTGACTGTTCAAACTTGGGCACATTGACGCCCACCCACATACAATCATAGCACTAATCATCTATCCAATCATAGCAATGAAATGAAAGGCATGCGGTAGTCGTAGTCTCTTGAATATTGAGACACAGTGATTCCTGAAGACGGTTGTCTGCAAAATTTTGCCGAGGCCATGCCTGGCATCAACCTAGCTAAACGTAATTGTGGAGCAGGTGTAATTTGTACAGAAGGCCTGGAACATGCATGGGTAATCAAACGATGTGGCAGCGGACCTCAAGGTGCTCTCGATGACTTTGCTGGCTTGCAGTTCCTGAGATGCATTGACTACTGGCAAAACCATTAGCTCTGTCAATGCATTCTCACCGACTCACGCACGTACGGACTGATATGTTCCAAAAGGCCTGAAAGACTACTTCATACGGTACAGTATTTGCATATATACATATACATACAATAACTATACAATTACATATAGCATATACACATGTTAATGTTGGAGCCTTTGACGACCTGTCTTAAGGGAGTGAAATTGCAATTGCTCGGACCACACCGTCCTCTTTGACCTGCAAAAGCTCTTTCTGCAAGGTGGCTGCTGTAGCTGTCTGCTCTGCCTCACTTGCACATAAGCAGTAGGTTCACCCGTGGCAAGCGACACTGACCCTCTAACTGGATGTGTTCGGGCCCGATGAATCGACCTTGCTGTCACTCTCTCACTTGCCAGCTGAATGTTCGGCATCTAAATGGTGATCTGGTCACACCTTTTCCTCGTCTGGTATCTTACCTTCAACTTCCTTCCTTCAGAAGGGAAGCTGATCTTCACGACGCATCTGCGCAGTGGCACTGCCATTAAACTCAAGGCCATGACAGCCATCTTCTGAAGCAAACAGTTGACCAGTCTTCGCGCACTTACGTGATATTGCGCTTTACAGGAATACAGCATCTATCGAAATGTAACACATGTGCACAAATGATCTCACACATGTACAGAACCAACAAAAAACGCCTCAAACATGAAGGGTTCACTTCTTTGCCCCATCATGTGAGGGGTGAAGACTCCGTACTAAAGAGTTGCTTCTGACAGCAAGAGCTGATCCGCACAATGAGACTCATCCATGAGCGCAAGACACTTGGCCGAGTCCAAGCATCAAGCATCGGTCCGTTGAAAGCGCTTCAGCATCTGGAACTCAGTCCATGAGATTTCTCCTCCGTCATCATCATCGATGAAGCTGAAGATCGGACCTGATGGGCCAAAGTACCCGACCTTGTCCAAAGAGCTCTCCCACTCATCCCGCTGGATGCTTCCGCCACCATCTTCATCCAAAGCCTTCCAAAGACGCTTTAAATCTTTCCCGAAGATCCGGTTGGCCCAATCCATGAACTCACGGATGGAGAACTCGACCTCTGCCCAAAAGGTGTCGAGGGTTAAGAACTCATCCTTTGACACTTGCCCTTCGCCACTGGGATCCAAAAACCGGAAAATGTCTGTCCAGCGCTGCTTCTCATCCTTCCCTTTGAATTTCCGACACTTCAAGAGTCTCATGCCCTCCTCGAACTCCCGCAAGCCCAAAACACCATTTCCGTCTACACCATCAAAGGCCTCAAAGGCCTTGTTTGTGTCTTGAAATTTCGCTCTCAGCCAAAATAAGAATTCCAACACATCCTCAGGAGCCTCATTGGCTGCAGCCCACCATGTAACTTCACTTTCGGCCACATCCACTTTCCATTTCCCATACTGCAGCAACAACGACTTCCGCAATGCGAATTTGCGGTCCTGCGGTGAGCATTTGTAGGTGAAATGAAAGATGCCCTCCTTTGGCATTCGTGCGAACTGGTCCCAGCTGCGCGGAACCCCAAGCTCCAACTTGTCGATGGTGCCATCCGGAAGGGTGTAGCGGAAGTTTGCAATGTTGTCCTGCGGGAGTTCTTCGCTCTCTAAAACATCTCGGTGTTAAACATCGGCCCCTCCCACATGGCATCCCCTTCAGTCCCGCTTCTCCGCATTGGCCAAGCTGAAGAAGATGTTGGCTGCCAAGCGTTGGTCGTACTTGGCAAAGTCGAAGTCATATGTGACTTGTTCAGGCTGAACGTACGTGAAGAAAGTGCCTCGGAAAGCAGTTGAGTACTTTGCCGAGTCCTATTGATGACAACCTGGGATATGTTGTATCATTCTATTAATGATGCATCTGTTTGCTGTGTTGGGCATCAGTTGCTTCCTGGAACTACTGTTTTGCATGTTGGTTTGGTTCCACTAAACCGATGTTTAAAACGCTGCCCATCGGTCGGTCTGGTGCCTCATTGACATGTTTCAATCAATGTATTTATCACACACACAATCACACACATATGTATACACCGATGCTCAGAATCTTTGAACAGTCGTGCAGTTGATGGGTGATTTTTTGCATCCGATTCCGAGAAATACACCAAACAAAACACCTGCCTTGGCGAGTCTTTGGGTTCAGCGTGGAAAACAGTTCAATCTGTATACTGATCTACTGCAAGGCTCCTCCGCACATGAGTTTCTTTGAAGTCCTTGACTTCCATCCGGGAACTGAGAATTTGCCAGCCAATCTATCCCCAAAAAGGTTCACGGGATGGCTACGTAGCACCTGACGTTTGCCAAACCTGTTTTGGCAAAGGTGCAATAGCCCAAGCGCGCTCGGAGCCTGTCTAGTTCTGACTGCTCTTCATAGCGCACCCGAAAGATCTTCTCATTGTGGATGTCAATGATTCGAAAGAACGTGGTGATCAAAGCTTCCTCATTGTTTTAGGCAATGCCGGGTTCAAGTTAAATGTGGGAACACAAGCAACTGTGGTTTTTCGTGTAGCCAGGAACGCAAAACCTCCAGGCAGAAAGCCCACGGCACGCACAAAGCATGAACAAAAGGTGGGAAAAGTGCTCTGGGTCCATCTTGGTCAGGGTAGACTAAGCACATGCCTTTGGCAAACAACATTGACACGTATGGTTCACATGGTGAACTCACTTTGGGGCGACTGTCTTTTTTCATTGTCCTGCGGGCACTTCAATTCAAAAGGGTCAGCTCAAACAACAAGCTTCTTCCCGCAGTTCTGAATACTGGTAGACACCCAAGAGTTGCCGCATCTGCATACTGGTAAGGTTGATGTAGTGGGCCAAATTCCGTGTAACCTTGATTTGCGTTGAGCCGTCGCACTCCGCCTGCTGCAGGATCGTCAAGAATTTCTTGAAAGAGGCATCGTCTAAGACGGCCCCATGGCAATCTGGCCGCTGGTTTGTCACGTAGTCCAGCCTTTGCTGTTGCATGAAAATTGCTGGGTGGTTAAGCACATCCCGACGGCATGTTTCGATAATTGTGTGCGGGCATGTTCATCCATCTGGTCTTGTGCATTCTCCTTGATAGAACATAATCAAACTAACAGCATCAACAGCAACCAATGAGAGCAACATTGAAAACTATATGATCTGCTACCATGGTGTGCGGAGTATCTGAGCATCATTTGCATGCTGCAGCACCAAGAAGCTCCAAGGTCTCCTTTTCAGGAATGACCCACTGGTCGAAGCTTTGAAGTCCAGTTTGCGCGCCTAGAAGGGGTTCGTGAGCATACCTGGGTGGGCATCATCTGCAAATCTGCAAACACTGTGCGCCACATGCAAAACGGGAAGAGAACAAGCCAGAAAGCATGAAGGTCGATTCTCATCTAAAAAACAACAACTATCGCAATCTATCGGTGCACTGAATCACTGTGAGGTTGATTGATCTGGGAGCTTAGGAACAAACAAACAGCCGCAAAAAAGCTTTCTAAAGCAAGGTGAGCGTACATGCAATTTCGCACGCATGAGTAGTCTCCATTCTCCGAGATGTCGACCAAATCTTTGCGTTTGGCCAAGCCCGACTCCCAACGGTCCAGCAACGCCAGTGCCTGCGCCACATAAGCTGAAGGAGTATTGCTGAGGTCCAATTTGTAGTGGCCTGTCAGCTGCAGATTGGGTGGGTTCTCTCGAGAGTGGATTCATTGAACATTGTTTTCCGTCCCTAGCGCGCATCACGCAAACACTTGGATCATAGTATCACATCATATCACCAAACGTTCACAACCCAGGCTCCTGTGGGGCTCTCGGGGTTGAAAAGCAAATACTCTTTGCACAAGGTCAGCATCTTGATGAACTCACTCATGTTGTCAACTTTTCTTATGGCCATGTTCAGTGAGAACTTGCCCCCCACCAGCGTTGGCAAAAGCCGTGCTACCACTGTCCCCACCATAGACTTGCAATTGCACAGCTGTCGCAAATGCGTGGCGGTGAAAACAAAGTCCCTTCCCAAAGCTGAGAGCATCGCCAGCTGCTCCTGGCCATCTTCTTTTGTCAAACTAGCTAACAAAAATTGATTCTGCAAGTTTACTTCATGTCGAACGAGTACAGCATTCAAAGCCAAACATGCCACCCAATGAAAACGATGTTGGCTGTTGGGAGGGCATGTTTCAAGCATGATGGTGGTCTTGTCTGAAAGAAAGAACCCCACGTCTCCTGCTCGTGCCCCTCCAAAAGCCTCCACTGAGCAAGCAAAGGAATGAGCTTGCGGAAGTGAGGCGTAAAGCCTTAGCTTTGTTCACCACACCATGGTGTTTGCCACAGGGATCTACTATCACAATCCAGTTTTGGCAGCCTAGCTCTCTGAGGCATGGCGTCCATGTTATGCAATCTCACACGTGACGTGAGACTGACAAACGTTATCTCGCCCTTGCCAAGTGTGGGTTGGGCCCAAAAAAACACAACCCCCTGACAGCAACATACATGCAACCTGCCAGGAAACGCATCACCTCATTGTATTTGGCCAAGACTTTGCCAAAGTTCTCTTCTGCTACACCTTTCACCGCCCTCTGTATAGCCTTCTCAATGCTGAAGCTCAAATCCAATCGGCCAGAAGTAGGGACCGGCCAAACGCCAGTGGGCCCCGGCAAAGATGGCAAGGTGAACTGCCCTGGTGCATAGGAGATATCGTAGCAGGTGTCTGCAGGCTTCAGCTGCAAGTTTTCTCCCACCTTGTACAAGGTGCGCAAGAGTGAGCGATGATAAGGCCTGTCCAAATCCAAATTGTAGCGCCCACCTCAACCACGACACGAGTGTTCGGATGTCCCTCCCCTTGTATAAGAGTGAGATGTCACTTGACTACAGTTTTGACAAGAAAATTTTAGCCTCAAACATGAAAGGTGCACCTGGATCGGTGTATGTGAAGACCTGTATGCCCTCCACTGAAAGCATGAGCTCACCTGTAAAGCAATTCTCCATGTCGATTGAGACCAAGCCTGACTTCTCCCTGGCCAGGAGTCGAAGCAAGGAACGTAGGCCCATGATCCCCAGGGGATTGTGCGCCACGTTTAGGGTCGTCAGTTGCCGGCTTTGTTCCAAAGCATCTTCAATCACTAGGGCCCCTCGAAAGTCAAGACGGTTCATGGCGATGTCAAGGCTTCTCAAGGAAACACCATGCACGAGCTCTTCCTGAAAAAAACAAGGCCAGATCGGCGAGGGATACCGCATCAAAAGATTATATATGGGACATAGGTGGGAATCACACGAATGTTCAATACTGGTGTTGTATGTGTATATATATATATGTGTGTATATATATATAAAACCAACTTAAAACTAAAGCAAAACTACGTCAAATACATTATGTGCAAGAATGTGTCACAATTGCTTGTAATTCGGTGTGGTAGCATGATGGTCTACATTTAGTGTGCTTTTGGACTTTCCAAGAAAATAATTAGCTTGAGCATCAATAAAGAAGACACAGGGCGAAATGCTGCTGTTCTTCTGGCTGCTGGCAGCACAGTTCGCCAAACCCAACTGTTGCAGATTGTGATTCTTTGACGCCAGCTCCCCAAGGAATTTCAATTCCGGTGCTGTGAAGCAATTCCATCCGACATCAAGCACTTGAATACCTTTGCAAAGGCCAGGGCAAAGTGACACAACGACCATTTTTCAGGAGAAACTCCTGTATCCCAAATGCTTTTCCGAAAGAACTGAAAGTCCGAAAGTCGAGGGTCCTAGTCCTACAAAAAGCAAGACTGAAGCTCATCTGCAGTACAAATTGTTTACAAATGTTTAGAACTATAGTTAATTCTATTGAAACTTCTATTGAACTATGATGAACTATGCAACAAGTATAGTATCTTATAGCCTCTAGTGGCTTCAGCCGCGTACGAACAATACCAGCACAGGTCCCATGGCAACACCCACAGCTGTAAATTGCGGCCAGGCAAGATGCGGCCACCCAGGATGCGCTGGAGACAGCGTATCACATCGATGGCACCACCGAGACCTGTGTTGCACAGCTTGAGGGTTTGGAGGGACTGATGCTTCTCCACGGCCCCGCAGAAGGAATCCAAGTGCCGCATGGACAGGCAAATTCCACCTCAGCAGCTTCAATGGATTCGTGCAGTTGCATCTCTAACCGTTAGAGGATCTATAGCGTGGCTCTACTTGCCAGAATGAACTGGTGCAATTAAGACGATCGACGGTTGATCCAATATAGCGTACAGTACCAGTTCAAAGCGAGTCCAATTCTACGTATCATTATATATGTATGTATGTAATATGTATGTAAAGTAATGTATGTAATGTAATGTAATGTAATGTAATGTAATGTTATGGTATGTTATGGTATGTATGTTATGGTAGGTAGGTAGGTAGGTAGGTAGGTAGGTAGGTAGGTAGGTAGGT